ATCTGGTGATGTCCATGTGTAGAGTCACCTCTTGTGTTGTTGGAAAAGAGCGTTTGTGATGACCAGCTTGTTCTCTTGACAAAACTCTATTAGCCTTTGCCCTGCTTCGTTTTGAACTCAAAGGCCAAACTTACCTGTTGTTCCTTTTATCTCTTGACTCCTTACTTTAGCATTCCAATCCTCTAGAATGAGAAGAACATCTTTCTTTGGTGTCAGTTCTAGAAGGTGTTGTAAGTCTTCATAGAATTGGTCAATTTCAGCCTCTTCAGCATGGGTGGTTGGTGCATAAACTTGGATTATTGTGATGTTGAAAGGTCAGCTTTTGATTCATATTGAAATCATTCTATCATTTTTGGGATTCTATTCCAGTACAGCATTTCCCACTCTTTTGTTGATTATGAGGGCTACTCCATTTCTTCTACGGGATTCTTGCTCACAAAATTAGATATGGTAATCGTCTGAATTGAATTCGCCCATTCCAATCCATTTTAGTTCACTGACAACCAGGATGTCAATGTTTATTCTTGCCATCTCCTGTTTGACCACATCCAGCTTACCAAGGTTCATAGATCTTACATTCCAGGTTCCTCTGCAGTTTTTTTTTCTTCAGCATCGGACTTTCCTTTCAGTTCAACGCACGTCCGCAGCTGAGCATCCTTTCGGCTTTGGCCCAACCACTTCATTAGCTCTGGAGCTACTTGTACTTGTCCTCTGCTCTTCCTCAGTAGCATGTTGGACACCTTCCGATCTGACGGGCTCATCTTCCGGCATCATATCTTTTAGCCTTTTGTTTCTATTTATAGAATTTTCTTGGCAAAGATACTGGAGTAGCTTGCCAGTTCATGCTCCAGGTTGATCGTGTTTAGTCAGAACTCTCCACTATGACCAGTCCGTCCTGGGTATCCCTGCATGGCATAGCCCATAGCTTCTCTGAATTACTCAAGACCCTTCGCCACGACAAGGCAGCAATCTGTGAAGGGCAATCAAATTTCCAATTTTTGGCTCCACAATCTGTAACTCAGCCAGCATATGTGTGTTTAAAATGGAAAACTGCACATATGAAATATTTATTTTCTTTTAATCACAGTTTGCAAATAACTACTTGTAGATATATACTGTACATTTGTACTGACTGAATTTACTGTTGCAAACTGCCCAGAGAATACTATGTACTGTGTATATGAGAAGAGAGACTTCTTTTGCTTTAACACATTAAGAACACAAAAACAGTTGTAAGGTATAAAACAACTGTGGGTTGGGATTAGAAGAGAACCCTTAGTTGAGTGTTTCAGAACAATCATGATGCACAAAGCTCTCTAAAACATGTCTCTGCCCACCCCAATTAAAACTATTAAATCTAGGAATTAAACTTACCTACCTGTATCACTGAGGACATCAATCACAGAGGCCTTAACCAACCATGCTGTGGTAGAAATGTATACTCTTCCTCCCATGGCATTAGATGAGGCAGCCTAATAATCCAAAGGTAGATTTGCACGTGATGTTTATTAGAGTCCTTGGCATTTGTGCCACAATTCTTCAGTATGATGGGAAAGTTTACAACAGAAGGAACAAAAAACCGCACTCTGGAATAAAGTGTTAACCTTTTGAATGAGGCCAGAGTTCTGTTTAAGAATTAATTTGTTTCAAAAAACACAGTGCTGGTCCTTGACTGACAATGCTTTATTCTTCTGATACCCTGCATGTAGATGAATTGTCTCTTTGAAGGACACATTGAATGAAAGCCTTAGCACTATCTTGAGTGGTTGGAAGAGATTTTAGAATTAACTATTGAACAATATGGTTGCCAGGATGGCAATTTCTGCAATGCTGGGGGGTGTCAAAATTGCTGGATGATTGTAAAGGATGATTGTAAAGATTTGCCGTAGTCCTCCCCTATCTAAAGCGGAGATGTCTGATCTACTCAAATATCTATACAACCATAAGGCTCTGAAAACATCAGAGCTAATTTCAGAAACTAACTAGCATCAGGCTCGGTTAGTTCTTAGAAGGGAAACCACCAAGGAATACCTTCCTGAAAGAAATCCTATGTTTCTTAAAGGAAGGGTAGGATTTCTAAGAGGGACTCTGTACCTGGGCCAGGTCTATTTGATCTAAAATTTCCCATATGAAAGGAAGACCTCTGAGAATGAAAGTGAAAGCAGCTTATGATTTTGGCACTATTACAGTTGTCTGCAAGACATTCCTATACCTATTCTTCCAATAAAGATGGAACATTGTGGAAAAGATTGAATTTAGACAAGCCTGGATAATGTGTCCATGTTGCACCAATTGTGAGTTTGGCTATGTTGTTAATTGCTATTGCATCTGTGATGCTGAAGGAAAGCCTTGAGACTATTAGAATGGCTGGGCTTAGGTCATTGTAGTTCTCCTACTCAGATTACAGAGGTTAAAAAATGAAGCATTCTGTGGAAGTTCTGATTGCCAGAGCTGAATCTTTGCAGTGGTTCTATAAGGCGATACTAATCTTAAGTCAATTTCCTACAGTGCGTTTGAGCACGATTCTCCTCAGTTCAAAGGATAACTTACTTAAAACAGTAACAGAGATGTCTACCAGTTGATCTTTAAGGCCATCCACAGATGACAAAAGTGTGTTATCTTCCCCACTGTTGAGAGTCTGGTCATTCTGATTCCATTGTCCTGCTCAAGGATGGAATAAAGGTAACTATGTGCTGGGGTGCTCTGGACTCAGGAAAAACTGCCATACCCTTTGAAGGAAATGAAAATGGCTCTTAACTAGGCCACTGCAGACTTACTGTAATGTAGTGATAGACTGGGAAGTAACTAGTGAGAGGTCATTTTCATTTAAAATATATATGATCTGAGGAACCCTCTCTTTGATCTTTGTCTGAACTGAAATGACAACAAGTTGCAGACGGACTGTACCAACAAGCACTGGGTGACCTGATTCAATGTCTATAGGGTGGCAATTGTGGCACTGCTCAAGTGTATTGAAGGGCCTGATGTCAGGCTGACTTGAAATCAAAAGCCTAAGACTCAGATAATTCTGCATCACGCCTTTCAGAGGAATGGTGTGGGCATTAAGAATGCTTGGATTTCTCAGATTCTTTTTCTCTTTTCAGAAACAGAGTGGGGGAGAGCAGGGCACAGATAGAAATGGGGTTGAGGAGAAGGAAATCTAGCCTCTTTCAGGAGCATTTTTCCTCTTTTTGCAGTGTAACTGCATTACATTTTGGGTTTCCTTCCTCCTAAAAGCTAAACTAATCTAGGAGCTGGTGTAGCTTGGGGGGGCAGTACCCCATACTAGGTTGGGAAAAGTGCACAGAAGTTTTAAAAACTGCATCAGAGGTGCTGCATAAGTTTATGTCTGTTGCTGAATGGGAGATTTTTAGAGGATTTTTATTGCCCTCTACTGCTATCTTGTGGTGAAAGAAAGCAATACTTTTAGTTTGCAAAGGTGCTCCTATAATTCCCCTATTCTGCTGTGTTTGAACTCTTTATGAGCTGGAGCTTGATACTCATCAGTTTACTCTGTCATATACAGAAGGCAGAAAAAGACTCAGAGATATCAGTATCAGCTCCAATTGTACTAGGTGTGCCACAGAGCAAGGAGTTAGTTTTCTCGAGCCCTTCTAAGTTGCACAGATTGCTCTGTGCAGGCACAGAACTCACTCTGGTAAAGAAGAAAATGAGAATTAACTAATTCCAAATCATTATATAAAACATGGTATTTTTAAGAAAAAATAAATACTTAAATTTAGCTTCTTGCTCCTTTACATTCAGAACACACTTTAGATTCTTAAAACTAATGTCTTCAAGTGAGAAATTGAAACATGTTGTAATTCTAAATCTGTACGCATTTCACATAATTTCACTTCACAAAACAAGCTTGCATTTTTCTGTTGACAAAAGTCTAGATACTGTACTGTTTGGTATCAAGTGATTTGAAAACACTTTGAACTGTATAAATAACAGTAGCACTAGTAGATTATTGAGCTTCTGCTAAGTTAATAGCAGAGTAATATGGGATCATATTGCTTGTATTAACATTGCCATTATGCAACTAGTGACCTTCACAAATAACTCTTCTTCTGTTTCTTCAGTTAACAACATGTGTGCAGTGACATGATCTTGCATTACTGTGCTGGTAGGACATTATGTTCAGAAGAAACTGAATTAAGATACTGGAATAGGGATTAAGAACATTAATGAAACAAGCAACAAGATCTTATTAAATCTTGTACTAGAGACTGCTGTGCAGTGCAAACAACAGGGTGTAACTTAGGGTGACAGGATACCACTGATGGCAAAGTCGACAGAGTCAAGACAAGTGCTCTATTCTATCAGGTCAAACAAATCAGTTAATCTACTCACCCATTCCTGCCCCCCATCAATCAACTTCATTTAAAACAATATATCAGACACAAAACCGAGTTTGGAAAAAAATTAATATTATTTAACTCATGTCTGACTTAAATATTTCCACATAACAAAAGTGTTATTTTCAAGTCACCAGCTATATTACGTATATACATATGTACAGAGTTAACAAAACAATCATGAGATGTCATATCAAAAGCAGTGATTTCCCCCCCTTTAGGAAATAGAAAGTACTAGTCTTATAATACACAAAATATAAATTATATGTACAGATAGCATCTTTCTGGAACTGAGAGCAAATAAAAATGAATTATTTCCAGAAAGATATAATATGTCTACATTACAATAAAATGAATCAATACTGATTTCAAAATATTCATCTAAAGTTGAAAACTTTAGGAACATTTCTGGTAACTCATGTTATTATTTACAAAATATACTCATCAGCCACATAGGGGCTTAAATATCTGTATATATACATAGACACATATATATAACATATAAAGAAATTTTAAGATTCGAAGTAAAATTAAGCAAGTTTCTTCTGTCTTTGGAATGTCTAAAACAGAACCTATGCTTTATTCCAGTGTGGGGGTTTGTTTTTTGATATGATTATAGCTTTTTTGAGTAAATGGGACCTTTCAGAACATACTGAAAAGCCTAGGTAGTTGTTAAAAATTTAAAAGCTCTCAGAATGAATGGGAAAAACCCATGAAGTTTTTATTAATATGGGGCTATCTATAAGAAAGACTAGCTTGCATTAGCTAATGCAACCTATGCTGCAGTTCACTTCATTTGGTGAAGCCAATGTACAGTTTTATGGATCTTTCCTTCCACCTTTTACATATGGCTTTATGTTTTTCACAGTTATCTAGCTAAAGTTTTATAGCTGAAAGACCTGGAAAAAAATTAAGCATTTTCTTGTTCAATTCAAGGATTCTCCACGGTTATTTTTTTCTTAGCAGTATTGCTGAATTTGAAGCAGAACATGTACAATTGAGAAATAATAACAAACAATAGTCATTAAATAGAGTGAGCATGTTCTACTAGTTAGAAGCACATGGGACTAAACCCAGCATGACATTCATGCTAGTCATGGAACTTCCTACTCTTCTCTGCCTTTCTGCAGCCCTGGAAGCCCCCCAAAAAACAAATTCTAGAGAATTTTACAGCTTCCTAGAGCCGTTTTTTGTTTTGCTTTCTAGGATGCAGTGGAAAAGGGAGACTGCTTCCCCTCCCCTTCTCCTTGGTTCCACTGTCTTGCATGCAGACGTCCAGCGCTTGATACAATCCAGGGAGAAAAATGTCAGATATAGCCTGTATTGTGACATCCTACTTCATCCATGAAATTTGCAAATAATTCATTTCCCAATTAATTTGCAAGCAGTATACCCTCATGATTGGCAGAACTTCTATATGGCATACATTCTAATTACCCTTTAATGCTAAGGTCTGGTGTTTGTTTTTAAAGTGAATACACTTAAGGTGAATTCAAAAGACGAACAAGTTCAATGTACCTGAGATAACTGATTGTGGACACTATAGCAAAGTTTATCTGATGTCTCTGCAGTATTCTTACAAGTTTACAAAAGACCATTTAGATATTTCTGTGACATTTAAAAGGTATATTATCTTACTGTTTTGTATAGTATGTTATGTTTCAACAGTAAAAATCCACAGATGACTATTTTTGTAAAGGAAGAAAAAGTTAGTCCTGAAAGCACTTAAAGCTTTCACCTTAGCAGTCATCAAAAAATACTGGCTATACTTGGCCATTCATTTGAAGATTCCTGAACAACCTCCTCCAGGTTCAGTGTGCGATTTATGTCTTCACCTTCCTGTCCCTGATGACTGGTTGATTCTTGTACTGTGCCTAGAGAAATATGCAGGAGAAATAATGCTAAGAAAGGTAGCACAAAATCTGTTGCAAATACTGAAGAATTATCGACCAGACAGGTATAAATAAATAAATTATGAAATACAAAGCATAGTAAGAAAGACATTAGACTTCTGGGCTTGAAAAGGAATCTACTTCATGTAATCTTTAACGCTAAATGAATATTCCCACTTTGCAATCACTCTGATCCAAATTTGTTTATGTGGTTCACAGCTCTAGCTTGAGAAGTACTCCCTTCTTTCCACAAACAAAGCAAACATATTTACACTAAGGAACAAGAGTGAGTGTTTAATCTATCTTGTCTAATTAAATTGATGGGGCAGCCTTTGAAGGCAAGGGAATTCCATATGTCCATTAGTCTATAAAACATTACTGAAGAACGGAAATAATTTGCACAGCAATCTTAAACTGTAGCTAGAAAACATACCCATTTTTCAACCCAGCTGGTTAACAGAGATTGCTGTATAGCCTTCAGAACTCCTAGGGCCAATAAAGACCAAGAAAAATATTGTGAATGCACTTGGGACTAGGGAACATGCTGAACATACAGTATTTCTTTATGATATCGCTCCTATGTTCAGCCAGGAAAAACAGTTTTTTCTGCTAGCAAGACACACCAAAGAATGATATTGTGTGGTGTTGTGTGTATGTGTGTGTATATGTACAGTTGTGTTCAAAATTATTCAGGTGTGTATGTGTGTGTATATGTATGTGTGTTCTGGGGGGGGGTTGCACTGTTCTACATGCATACAAATGCAGAGTCTTGACAATTAAATGCCAGTGTAGATCTTAGAACAGAAAATGATCATTTTCTTCATTGGCAAAATGTATAGCATTATGATATTCAAAATTAGGTTACAGTATTATTGAGCTTATACATCAGAAAAGCCAGTCTTGGAACTATGAAATAAGATTTATCAACAACTGGAATTAACAACATTGCATTTTTCAGCCTCAGTATTGCTGTTTTGGTAATACTCTCACATTGCCTGTCTTCAATTAAGAAACGGCTGCAATGGTTACTCAAATGCTTTCTTTGGCATTAAAAAAAACCAGAACAAAGGCATTACTATTCAGCACAAACAGTAATGCAACCAAAATGCACATGCCCTGACATGCATTATCCACTTTGAACTATCAAAAGTAGGGCAGAGAAACCTGTGGCCCTCCAGGTGCTGACAGAGAACAAATTGATCTTATTTACCCCTGATGAAATCTCTCTCTGATGGAACTGGAGTCCAATAATATCTGGAAGGCTACAGGTTCCTGAGCTCTAGTCTAGATACTGACAATTAATACGAAAGTATTTCCAGTTTTCAGTACAATAGAAGAAAACGAGAAACCATGAGTTGTGTGAGAACTCAGATCTTACCTATAGGGGTGGATTAAACTTTCCAGGGCTATATACACAACTTTTAAACTGTTTCCACTACTTATTAAGAGCAACGTGAGCGCGCGCACACACACACACACGCACGCACACGCACACGCACACACACACACACACACTTTTTTTTATGAGGTGAGGTAACTTGTTATGAATAAATAAAACAAGTTTTGGTATAACAAATATTACATACCAGAATAGCTGTGGGCTCGCTTCATATGAAGCTTCATATTGCTTTTCTGGGTAAAGCCCATTGCACAGTAGTCACATTTATATGGTCTTTCTCCTGTGTGTTTTTTCATATGAACTTGTAGTGCACTCTTCTGGTTAAAAGCTTTCTCGCACAGTGTGCATTGAAATGGCCGTTCTCCTATAATGAAAAGGGAACATTATAAGATTACTTCCAAGATACTATACACTGGAGAGAGAAAAATCCTGTCACATATTCACTACTTTGACATGAAACAGGCCATGAGTACGCAAGAAAGATCTTTCACACTATACACAGTTACTTAAACGCTAACCTCTGAATTATTCCTTTCAAGTTACTTCCTGTGCCAGTTCAAAACACATAGTAAAACAAAGTGTGCTATTTGTATACCACCTCATAGCACTTAAAGCACTCTGTGGGTGGTTTACAATTTAATTATGCAAGCTAAAGTTCCTCCCATCCCCTGGTGAGCTGGGTACTCATTTTACTGACCTCGGAAGGATGGAAGGCTGAGTCAGGTTCAAACTCAGGTCATGAGCAGTTTTTGACTGGAGTACAGTGGGGTCTTGACTTGAGAACTTCGTCTTGGAAGGCGGTTCTCAAGTCAAAAAGTTCTCAGGTCAAATCTGCATTTCCCATAGGAATGCATTGAGAACCATTTGATCCGTATCTGCTCTTTTCCGTCCATAGAAACTAATGGGAAGCTGCTATTCCGCCTTCGACCACTAGAGGGGGATACTTTGTTTCTCTTTTTTCTTCTTAGGTCAAGAAAGGTTCAGGGAAGGCAGGGAAAATACAGTCCAGGCAGTACAGTACCAGGCAGTCTAAAGACTGTCTCCCAATCCACTCTCTAAACGCTGGGAGGAGTGAGGAAGCAGACAGGCACCCTTTTCACTGGCCAACAGTTAACTGAAAGTTCACATTTTGCACTTTCCCTGCCTCCCACGTGGTTTTTTTTTTCAGTTCTTAACTCAAATCTAAGTATGTAAGTCAAGTCAATATTTTCCTATGAGAGTGGTTCTTAAGTCAAAATGTTCTTAACTCAAGCCGTTCTTAAGTCAAGACCCCACTGTACTACAGTTTAACTACCATGCCACAATACTATACAGTGGTGCCTCGCTTGACGAGGATAATCCGTTCCAACAGTTCCCTGTTCAAATTGGAACAAAATCTCTGTAGAACAAAATCCTCGTCAAGCGAAAATTAAAAAAACCATTGAAATGCATTGAAAACCGGTTCAATGCGTTCCAATGGGCTAAATACCTAATCGTCCAGCGAAGATCCTCCATAGGGCGGCCATTTTCCGGTGCCTGTAAAGCGAAAAATGCCTCCTAAAAAAATGCCTCCTAAAAATAGCGGGGAGCCATTTTGCACAGTGGGCGGCCATTTTGAAACCCGACAATCAGCTGTTTTCAGATCTCCGTAATGTGAAGAATCGGTTCCCGAAGCAGGGAACCAATCGTCATAAAGCAATTTTTGGCCATTGAAACATCGTTTTGCGATTGCAAAAACCTCACCGTCAAGCGGATTCGTCGTTTAATGAGGTAATCATTAAGCAAGGCACCACTGTATAGTATATATACTCTATCTAGCTGAAGAAGGGAGGGAGATGTTTGAAAGCTCTATTGTTAAGCAAACAGTTTAGGTGAAACTGATTGGAAAGCACTAAATGGCAATTAAGGGTGGCTGCTGTTCATAGTCAGTTCATGACTGCTGACTGAACATTCCTATCTCCTGATGCCTGTTACTAGAACAATTTTGCAGAAAGGAACTATGTGCTTACATGGTTCTGGTTGTTGCTTCAATAACTGCTTTCTTCTGGTAAAAATTCTGGTTGTGAATTCCCATCCACCACAGAATAAAAAGGAACAGGAAACAGTGGTAGAAGAGCTTAAAAAACTGAACAGTGACTGAGGCCTAAATTTTACATATCTGCATCTTCTAGTAGCTGCACATAAGCTGTATCATAAAGAATCTTTGGAATCTCTATTGCACTATGGGACTGAAACAGCTTTGGCACACTGCTCAATGATCTTCTGGATGCCAACCTGAAGTTTCAGGTGCGAAATCTTGGGTGTGCTTTTGGACCTGGCTCTCTCAATGGAAAAGCAGATTTCAGCTGTGGCCAGGTCTGCCTTTTACCATCTGAGGCGGATCACACACCTTCACCCCTATCTTGATGGTAAGTCCCTAACAGCACTGCTCCATGCACTTGTAATCTCGAGAATAGACTACTGTGACAGTCTCTACATTAGGCTGCTTTTGAAGGTGGTTTGGAAGCTGCAGCAAGTGCAGAATACAGCGGCCAGGTCGGTTTCTCAAACATCCCAATTTGCTCATATTTCATCTGTCCTGGTGTGTCTAATTGGCTGCCTATATTCTTCTGGGCCAAGTTCAAAGTGCTTTTGTTAACATTTGCAGCCCTCAATGGTTTAGGGCCTTACTACCTGTCTCTCCCTCAAAACGTCTACCCGTCCCTCCCATACCTCATATACTGGGAGGTCGCAGGTGGTGACCGATCCCAAGGGAGGCTTGAAAATCTGCCTCCTGAAACTGGGCCTTCTTGGTGGTCGCTCCATTACTTTGGAACTTGCTCCCACCTGATGTACAATTAGCCACTTCCCTCTTTGGTTTCAGGAGACAAGTTATAAAACCTGGCTTTTCTCACAAACCTTCCCTGCCCTGTTTTCACCTGTATTTAATATACTTAATATTTTAATCTATTTTTAACTAGGTATTTTATTCTTTTATTACAGTGTTTCCCCAAAATTAGACAAGGTTTTATACAACTATGAATTTTTGCTCCAAAAAACGCATTACGGCTTATTTTCAGGGGATGTCTTATTTTTTTGATGTACAACAATCTACATTTATTCAAATACAGTCATGTCATCTTCTGGTTGCTGCACAATGGTGGAGGGCAGGGTTTCACTTAACTGGGACTTATTTTGGGGGTAGGGCTTATATTACGAGCATCCTGAAAAATCATACTAGGGCTTATTTTCAGGGAAACAGAGTATTACATCACATGTTTATTGATTATGTGGGTGTTACTGGGGTTGCTTTTGTTATTCTGATTTGCCTGCCACCCTAACTAGTGGCTCTGCCACTAATTAGGCAGGATAAAAACAAAATAAATCATAGAGCTTTGCAATGCACTTAATCCTTCCAATCAACAATGTAAGATCTATATAATTTGTTTCAAAAACTGTACTACAGCTGCAGTTTAATGTTAGTCCCTTACACTACTAACTTACTACCTGTGTGAATGCGGCTATGTCTTTCCAGTTGACTTGGCTTCGCAAAAGCTTTTTCACAAGTATCACATTTAAATACTCTTGGTTTCTGAGAACTTAGTGATGGTCCAGCTTGATGTGTCTGTGTATGCTCCTAAAGAAAACATAAAATGCATATTTTACACACTTGGTATTATGCATAGAACACACAGACATACAAAAGATATGAGGGTAGCAGCAGCCACATTCAGTTTAGGTTGGGAGGATTTTGATATACACACTCTTTAAGAAAATATATTTTTCAAGACATTGAACAGTAAAAAATAAAAAGTATAACCCATTTATAGCTCCTCTTCTTTAGCAAAAAAAAAAAAAAAAAAAAAGAGCTGAAAAGCAAAGCAGCTGACCAGATTTTAGACTTCAAAAGGGAAGAAACCAACACTCAGATAATTTGGGGAAAGTCAGTTGGCCAGTTCAGATGTAACTTGTTTCCATTACACCTAAACCAACCATGGACTACAATGAAAGTGTATTTCTTCCTCTGCACTCACAAAATGAAATAATGAAAATATAAGCAATATATAGAATTCAACTACTGAAATACAGTTTGCATTCTCTGTGTTGCTTATATTTTAAAAAGAGAACCAGTTTCGCGCAAGACTATTATATACAAATTACTGTATCTGATCTTCTGATCTTGCTTCCATAGTAACCCCCAAAATAATTTTTTTAAATTTAGGCATCTGGTTCGAACTGCTGACATCTGGCTAATGGATAAGGTTTTTCTTCCATTCTGCAGTCCTAGGAGGAGTGGCATTTGAAGCAAAGTATCCTTTAGAGCAGGGGTCGTCAACCCCCGGTCCGCAGCCCTCCTCTTTCTCCTCCTTTTCGTTGCCCCAACAAAGACATACAACCCTGCCCCGCTTGGTTTCCTGGAGAAAAAAGCCCGCCTGCCGGTCCAACGGAGAAGCCAGAAAGGGGGAAGAGAGATGGAGCAACTTTGCAACCCTTGCCTCCCGGAGGCAGCGCTTCCTCCGCACACCCAACCAGCCTGTCTCTGCGTCTTCTCCGTTGGACCGGTGGGCAGGGACTCCTTTCCCTTTCCCTCAGGAGCTTCCATCACGCCTGACCTCGCCTACCCCGGGCTCCTTCTGTGCAACTCTTTAAGTCTGGGTGAAAGAAAAAAGGGGGGACGGTTGATCCGTCCATCCTCTTCGTCCACCCCCTCCCTGACTCAACCAGCCCTCCCTTTTTGAGCGGGGCAGGGAGAGGATCTTTTAAGGTGGCTTTTTCCATGAGAAGGGAGAAAGGTGACAGAAGACGCTCCAATGTGGCTAATCTCTGGGCTGGCGTTGCCTCTTTCTCCCCTTCTGCCGCGCCTTCCTGGGAGGCCCCGGAAGGCAAGCCGAACTCGGGGGCAGCAGCAGCAAGGAGGCCACCCTCCCGGAACCTCAGAAGTTCTGTGGACAAGCCCAGCCTGGCCCACCTTTCCCACCCGAGAAGAGCCGGCCGGGCAGGAAGCAGCAGGATCGCATGCGCTCCCACCCAGCCACTCGCCCTGGGTGGGGTGACGCCGAGCCTGGTGGCCAGCCATTGGCGCTTCCCGGGCAAGCTGCCCCGCGGCAGCTTCCCCGCAGGGAAGGGGTACTGCTCTCCTGCAAGGGGTGCTGGGGGAAGGGTTAGCACCATCGCGGCACACCCCTTTGCAAGTGCGACACACCCACCCGTGAGTGCAGGGGTTTCCCACACCCAACTGGTCTGCACACGGAGCCCGCACCCCCCCAAACGGTCCGCGAACTGAAAAAGGTTGAGGACCGCTGCTTTACAGCTAGCAAGCTAAACTACCCTAGGTGTGCATATTTAGCAGAATAATGGGCCACACAGTTTTTCCTCTTAGTACAGTTCTTTTCCTGGGATGCAAGAGATGCAAGCTTTCAGTTGCCCTTAGTCTTCTTACTTAAAGAAGACTGATTAGCTACAATGTTGAAAACACTCAGGTGCGTCTTCCTTTCCATTTGCTATTTAACCATTTTAGTGCAGCTGATTGTGCTTGTTAGGCACAGAAGTTCTGGACTATTATTTTTTGGACTCCACCTCCCAAAATCCACCCAGAATGCCCCAGACAAAGTTTTGAGAGAGGAAGTCCAAAACCAGAAATCTACAGACCAGCTCTCCTTAACTTCCCAGGTGACTGCATCCACATGGTGCTAGTTTTAAAAGTAAGGTGACTATCTTGCTGCTCCCTGGGAGTTGCAAGGCTATCTGGGAGTTGGAAGGCTTCACAGAAAGACCAGTCATTCTGACCATTAGGCTCTATAGAAGGTGCCTCCCAAAGAACTAGCCCTCCACTCATAATTTTACTCTTCTTCCCAGTCAAGAGGCACCTTCAAACATATTGAGACAAGTACAATTTCAAAGCCTCCCCTATTTATTATGAAATACAATTATTTTATCATTCAACTTCTAAAATGTATTTTGAAGTTCATAATAGGAACAGCATTTGATTCTAAAAAATAATATCCACTCCGATTAAGCAGATCATCAAAATAAAAAAGGCCTTTTCAAAAGGAGGTAAAGAAGAGGATTGTTTCACTTAGCTAGAACTGTTTCCTTCATTTTCATAATTGTAGTATGTTACTTTTGTCTCATACCTTAAGATGTGTGGCTCTTTTGAATGCTTTACTGCAAATATGACAAACATGGATTCTTTCTTTTCCATGAACTTCTTTACTGTGCTGCATTAGCATGGCAGCTGAAGAAAATGTTTGACTGCATTCAAAACACTGATGCATGCGTGTCTCTTTTTCAGACTGAATGCCTTTAGAAAGACTTGGAGAAACTTCACTCACCTGTAAATTACATAAAAATATACATACAAAGAATTATGGGTAGTAAACTTACCTAAAACCCATGAGATTATTTAATCAGTGTTGTTCTTAGTATGGTGTGATAATGCTTTGAGGGATATATGATGACTGAATGGGTACTAAAATATGCCATGCAACATTTAGTTCAATTCTTCTCTCCATGAGAATATGGGAACATTATAAAGCACTTCAATATTTTGAATAAAGGTAATTATACGAACTCTTTTTTATTTCACATGTGTGTCCCCCAAGGTCTTTAATTTGCAAGCCATATTCATAATATTGGTAAAATGACACAAAATTAAGGACATAATATATTTTCATTGGAGTTTAGAGTTTTTTAAAAATTACCTATATGCTTCTATTCCAGTAGGTAGCAGGGCATTATTCTGCTTTTCAGATGCCCCACAATGGACCAGTAAGGCAGGGCCAATTTTTGCATCATAATAATAGGCTCTCTCCCTAAATAGAACTACCGATTTAAATACTATTAAAGATACAAAAACTGGAGGAACTAAGACAGTGGTGCCCCACATAGTGACGATAACCCGTTCCGAAAAAATCGTTGCTATCTGGATTCGTCGCTATGCGAAATAAAAAAGCCCATAGGAATGCATTAAAATGCGTTTAATGTGTTCCTATAGGCTTGAAAACTCACCTTATGCGAAAATCCTCCATTGGGGCGGCCATTTTCGGTGCCTCTAAAGTGAGGCAACACAGCGGGCGGTCATTTTGGAACTGCCGATCAGCTGTGCGAAAATGGGGCCTTTGGGAGGACCGCGGGGGAGCGCTCCCCCACGGTCCTCCCAAAGCCCCAGCTGGCATTTTCGCCCAGTTGATCGGTGGGGCTTCGGGAAAATGGGGGAAGCGCTTCCCAGCGATCATCCCGAAGCCCCGCCGATCAGCTAATGGGGGAAGTGCTTCCCAGTGATCATTCCGAAGCCCCGCCGATCAGCTGTGCGGAAATGGGGCGTTTGCAATGATCGCTCCCCATAGGGAACATCGCAAAAGCGATCGCAAAATCTTCATCGCTATGTGGATTCGTTGTTAAACAGGGCGCCCGTTAAGCTAGGGACCACTGTACATGATTTAAGAGAAAAAGAAACAAATGGGTTTCCCCTGGGAGTCCCTATCCGAAACCCATATAAATATACTGTAATAGAAGGCCAGAATACCCTCCTGCCACTAATTGAAAGAGTCATATACAGGCAAGACAGTCCTTTTTCTTCTGACAACACGCCAGGATTGCATTCAATTCTTCAGGATTTACTGCATGTATTTTGAGAGCTCTCATTGGGACAATGCCACTGCCATCCTCCTTCCAAAAGCAGGTTTGCTGACAGGTATTTCTGGGGGACATACGTACAAATGAATGAACTGCAACTCTGCAAATTTCATCCCAGGAAAGTGTTCATATAAACAATCCTTAAGTAGTGATCCATTTACAGGTGTTAAAACTCATATGAAAGGCCTCTGACCTGCTTGCTTGTGGTATGCATAATTGTAAACATCTGGAAGAAGTTAATTTCCCAAAATTCCTGCCAATGTGGATGGTTCAGCCACCACCACCTCCTTCCCAGTCTCCTAATGCTTACTTAAACAAAATTACAGCTTTCCATAGGCACAATCACAGACTCCACCCAACAGCATGGGAAACATATGTAAAGCAGGGCAACACTGGCTTTTGGTTCCATGGGAAAGCATTTTCTCTTTAGTATTAATGGTCCGTTCTGACAAACATCGTACCTTATTAATAAACACAGATAAGTGCCTAATTAAAAAAACTGCATGCGGCTGCCATCAAGTTGTGCAACTACCTGACTGAAGTGATGGCCACAAAGAATGTTATTAAATTTCCACAGAAGGGAAAAAAGCAGACTCAATATTCAGAGCCATTGAAATCTTGTGAATCACACTGAGATTTCAAGTGGAAATCTCACCACTACAAGGGGACAGAATTTCTCCACTGTAATGGAGAAGAGGTACACTTGTTGTACCCCTAAGATCATAGGCTGTAGACCAGACAAATGCATGCAATAACAAATCTCCCATTCTGTGAGTAATACTTTCTCCCTTCACATACCACTGAAAGTCACACATGGGAAGGGCAGGAAGGAGGATCAGAGAAAGGAAGAAGTGAGACCGTGTATGATTTGCCAAGGTCAGGTTTAAGTAGTGATCCAATCTCAGTCTGTTTACCTTTCAAAATACTGCCCATCTGAAAGTCGGTCGATTTCAACTCCCAGTACAACTGATAATTGGGCCTGCCTTTCTGGTCCCCTTGGAAAACAGAATAAATTCCTGCCACTGTCCAATGGCCAACTTGTCATACTCTGCCCAAATAACAAACTGTGAAACTAGATCAGAAATGAAGGCTAAAAAGCAAATGCTTTCTAGATGTAAGCAAACCTTTGAATACAAAATATTCTTACCTGATAATTTTCCTAAGACTTATGTCTCCATCAATCCATCTTTCTGAGTACTCCCAGTCTGTGAGCAAAGACCAGAGGCAATTCAAGCACTGTAGCTGAAAGCTCCAGGCTTAAACCCTTAAATTTTGTAACAGTTCTTTTGCTAGAGAAGTATTTCCTAAGTCTTCAAAATACTTAACCATAATGGATTTAGACTGGTGTGTGTGTTTGTGTTACAGATATAATCCACGAGAATATGTAATTTACATATAGTATGTATGTGTGAGGAGCTATATCTGTATATATTTATGATCACACTATTCTTGTAAGATCAAAGAAAAATGCTGCTTATCATCAATTAATTGAAGGAAATTCAGACTGAAAGAGACATTGACCACAAAAAAAATCATCAGGTAAGATTTTCTAATCTATGTGTAATAATTGTTAATTTTCCTCTGTAGATGCAGAAAAACCAATAACAAGCAAGGAGAGTAGAGAGTTGCATTGAACAAATTTTAAGAAAAAAAAGAGATAAAATGAAATTGGGAAACAAGCTTAACTGACAATGGAGGTAATTTTCCACTGTTGCAGAAGAATATGAAATTAAGGACTATATTGCAATTAATGAGATCTGATGGAATTGATAATGTATCACACAGGGCAAGCTACAAATGAAGAATGAGGAGAATTAGAAACTGTGGTGATTGATACATTAATTTGTTATATAAATAATATTAGTAGTAAACAAAATGTCTTTAAGCCAATCATAACCAACGAGCCAGCTACAGAGGTGCAACAGGACAATCAAATGGCAGAAAGTTATAACAGGAGAAGGAAACAGAGATAAGCACACCTGATCCACTATTTCAAGCAATGCATCTGGAAAACTATGTTGAACAGAAATAATAAATGACAAAATAAAGTGCAACAAAATGAGATAAATAAAATCAAGATTCAGAGAGTTACCAATAAAGGAGGGAGCCTTTTTTATGTTTAGGAATTTTAAAAAACACTAAAAAAGATAATTGTGGAACTATGAACGGAAAGCGAGGGGGAGAGAGTTCAAACACACAATGTATCAGTTGAACTTAAAGATCATCCAAAGAAGTTGACTGTCATTACATTAGTAAGTTCTGTGCACAAAGGAAGTACTCTTTCAGAACACATACTCTTATGCCTGCTCCCACCAAGATCTACTTGGATCACCTGTGCGAGTCAGGAGGTGAGGCTGAGGAGCCTGACGCCGAGGGAGGGCTGGAGGGAAAAGACACGAAACCGGGCCTTCTCGGTGGTGGCTCCTCGCCTTTGGAACAACCTCCCTCCGGAGATTCGCGAGGCCCCTACGCTGGGTGCTTTCAAATCCCAACTGAAAACATGGATATACATCCAGGCCTATCCTCCTGTCAACATCTGATTTCTTTTTGCTTTGCTATTTATTATTTATTATAATCTGCACAGTATTTGTTATTTTTGAATGGCAAAAATTTGAGATTGTCAATGTTTTCCCACAATTTTTTCTCTCAAATCCACAGACAACTCTTTACACTTCATTCTTTTCTCCATGCTCAGTATCACACACAACACAAAGGTTGAGTCAACTTTTCTCCATCTTAACTGGTTGCAAGTGTCATTACTATATTGCCTATAGCTCTTATTTGCAACAGGTGTGTCTAGATACAAATTAAAGGAGCATCACATGCTTGAAAAGCAATTATTTCTTACAATTTAGATAGGGCGCCAATAATTTTAGTCAATGCATTTTTGGGTTTCTGTGTAGGATTGTATCAGATCTGACTTCTCTTCTCCAACACAAACCAAAGAAATGAACATGTGAGTACCAAATCATCTGCAACTGCAACAATGTTCGAAGAGAATGGTTGCATTTTCTGACAGAATTGCAAGGGTGCTAATTTTTTGGCCATGACTGTAGAATAACTACCATAAGTCCTACTAATGGGAAGGCAGAATAACTTACTCATGACCTACAGATCCCTGGCATGTTAACATGGCGCACATGCAGGCATTGTAGACCAGTTAAATCAGGCACTGCCTCGAACAGCATTAAAATGTTCTTCGTACTTATCAGACATCACATTTAAATCAGATTTAGGTGGCTTTTAAATGTGATTGCACTTATCTGGGCAAAAGTCATTAACAGCTACTAATGAAACACAAATAAGTGGCTGCTGTATTCAGATATTCAGTATCACCATCATTGCTCATCTGGTGACTCTTACAGAGTAATTTAGTCAAACTCTGTTGAAAACAAAATGGCTTGACAATCTAACACAGCAAGCAGATTTATATCTTCATATAACAATGACCTGAACACATTAATTTTTTAACTCGGGTCTGAATGATGTGACTACAAAAGAAAAGAAAACAAAAATGGTCCAGGAAAATGAATAGTAAATTTCAGGCTGGTAGGGCTGTAGAGGAATAAAGCAATCAACCAAAAGAAATGGACCAGGTGGGGGTTGGAATGAGATGTGGAATGCAAAGTTATAGAGGGTATAAAAGGAACAAGAAAATTCTTCACATACCACCTTATAAGGTTTGTTAATATGCGACTTATACAATCCTGATTCAGCCTATATTTCTTTCATATTGTGTTTATGGCCATGGCCGCAAAAAGTTTGAGAATGGCTGTTCTAGAGTTTAAAGGGAGTTGCTCTCAGATAAGTGTGTTTATGTCTACTGCCACAGTCACAAACATATTTACCTGGGAACTGAGTTCCACAGAACCCAATGGGGAATACTTCTAAAAAGTTAAATTTGCACTATTAATCTCAAATCAATGTACACTTCCATTTTTTGCAGTTCAACTTCCAGAATTCTCCAAGAATTCCCCAGGCGAAATACTAGAAGTTTCAACCCACAAACACACATTTGTATTTTGCCTGCCTAGGGAAGAGCCTGTCTGTGAAGCTGTATTGGCTGTTCTATCTGATACACTTTGCTTCACCTCCTGTCATTAATTTTTTAAAACGTAAGCTGCCTTGATACTTGGGAGTTGTAGGTTTTTTGGAAGGCTCTCTCTAGTGTGTCTAATGGTCACTGAGGCTGCATCTTTCAGGAAAGACTATAGCAGCTTTCCTTAAAAAATAATAATAATAGCACGAAGCACAGATGCAGTGAATTAAACTTCTTAGGAAGACCCTTCTTTAGGTGGATAAAATATAGGGTTCTAGAGGTGTGTTTTGAAAACTCCCAGAATTCTGCTTGGGGAACCAAAAAAACCCAAGTGCACATGCCTATCATTCAATACATTGCTGCCTTGAATTCTGCTAGGAATGGAAAAAGAGCAAAGCATGCTGCTTATATACCGCCCCACAGTGCTTCAAGCACTCTCTGGGCAGCTTACAAGTTAATTATGCAGGCTACCCAATGCCCCCCAGCAAGCTGGGTACTCATTTTACCAACCTCGGAAGGATAGAAGGCTGAGTTAACCTACAGCTGGCTACCTGGGATTGAACCCCAGGTTGTGAGCACAGTTTTGGCTGCAGTACAGCAGTTTAACCAATGTGCCATAAGGCTCTTGATTGGTACATTCCATATTAAACTAAACTAATTAGGATTAGACAAGTGACAGCACTTTTTCCCAAACTACAGGAAAGAAAGCAAACAAACGTATATGGGTTCAAAAAAATATTTACCTGATATGCCAAGTCATCATGGTTTGCAGGTAATGAATGTGGTGCATGACTCACTAGTATAACTTGCTGTGAGCTGGAACTGCTCTGTCCAGACAGACTAGAATCTGTGAGTAAAGCAGGGAACTGCTGCCCCTGGCAAAAGAAATGCATGAATAAATTATACTTAGAGGAAAGATAACTGCCATATTCATCAATATACTTATCACTGTTCAACACAATAGTGGCTAACATGACTAATAATATAAAACAAGGAATCTTGTGGCACCTGAAAGACTAGTGAGTTTCATTTGGCATAAGCTTCTATGGAGTGCAACCTCCTTCTTTGGACAACTGAATAAGTAGACTAAAGTCTATGGAAGACTGCATGAAACAAAAGGTGTTAGTCTTTATATTGTCACAAGATTCATTTGTTGTTTTTGTTGCAACGGTCTAGGCACAACTATGCCCCAGGATGGTTAAAAGCAAAATAAATAAATAAATTTTAAAAAAAATAAAAAAGATTTGTGCACATTTTAGAACCTTTTAAGTCCATGCTTACAAGCACCTGTCTATCAGTTAATCCAAAAGTACTAATTCTCAGGAATTCTGCGAAGACTGTATCCCAAAGAATACCTCAGCACATGATAGCTCACTTTAAATCTCCTAAAGACTATATAACTAATTATACTGAATGTACCTTAACACAGCACGGACAATGTGCTTGGTGCTCTATAAAGTACAAGGAGACATATTCCTGCCCTGAGAGTTTAATACCCTTAAAACTCAACACTAGAGATGGGCATGAACAGCTGGTTCCCTGCCCCACCTCCTCCAGGTGCTGCCTCTGAATGGGTGCCCACTTTGAAACACTGAACACCTGCTCGGACGGTAAATGAACCAGCACAAACCACCAAACCAGCAGTTCATGCCCATCTCTGCTTAACAGAAATCAGAAAACAGAGGAAGGGGAAAGAAAGAGAGGAGAGGAAGAGTATATGTTTTAGCTGCACCTATGTAGGTTTGGTTATACAACGGGACTATGTCAACTGCTTCACTGGAAAGGTTGTGTTTTAAAAAGATTTGAGGGTCATAGATGGAACATCACACAGGTGTTTGGGGGGAGGCAGGTGCAAATACATCAAATTTATCAACCAACGCCCCCTATATCCACCATTCTTATAGGTTCTCCTAAAGAAACAGACAGTCACTAGGGGAAGCATGCAGACTTTTCATGGAGATCTACGACAGTTTTTGGTTTGCCTGGATTAAGTTAGGAAATACCAAGAGGGAGGATCTGCAACCTATGTTTGAGCTTACGGGTGTGTTTGAACATGTTTAATCTAGTGAGGAAGAGCAGATTATTCATAAACATGTTTGAACTTGGTCCATGAAATGTCATAGAAAGTATCCCACTACACATTTTGCTGGAATCAACATCCCTTGTTTATACTGTCTGATCTTTTGCTGCCTACAGGCTTTTCCCGGAGTTCTCCTGGCACTGACTTAGCATAATACTGAGGCCTATGTTTATTCTGTTCCAGAATCACAAGGCTGGAAGTGGCACCTACTACTATTATTACATATTTCAGTATTTTGTGTTAATATAGAATACCCCAGGCTTAAACCTAAAGCTTCTCCTACAGTTGCTTCCTGTAGACTAATAACATCTATAAGTTGCTTTTTGAAGCTTTCCAATAGCAACAAAAGATTTAATCTATACATACAATGCAAATTTATATATGTAAAACATGCAAAATGACCATTAAATTAAGAGAAAACAAGCATTTTGGGTGCTTTATATGAAATCCTTTTACAGCAGAGACAGATAATGGTCAGATTCAGACTGTTTTATAAACAGAAAGGCTCCTTCTCTTTTAGAAACAAGCTGGACATGAAAGAAGCTGCTCCTCCACTAACTGTACAATCCCGCTGGCATGAGGGGGAGAAATTATTTTTTACTAATTCCCCCTTCCTCCTGTATCCCACAGTGTCATCTCCCACATATTCTAGAGGTTCTTCCAACACTCCAGATCAGATTTTTATGGGTCATGGCAGCATATGGAAACAGAATCACCTTCTGCCCTCAAAAGCATGCAGTCCCCTGCACTCTGCTATGCCTATAATGACTGATTGGCTGAAATCTTGTTGTTTAATGTAAAAAGTCACAGCTAGATTAGGACTCTGTCAATGGAACTGACAGAGGAATTGGCTAAATAAATTCCCACTGATTTAGTGGCCCTTCTCTAGTTGTGACTTATTACGCTAAGCAATAGGAATTCAAGAATTCAGCTATTGTCTCTAATAGTATTATCTGTAACAGTCAGGATTTCTCAGAAACAGTAGAAATTGACAGTGTGATACTCGAATCACTACAGTAACAGAGACACCAAAAAGGGGGTGACCGTTATAAAGAGAGCAGGTTTAAAGCAATACTTTTATAGTGCCTCTTGAAATAACTACAGAATCATAATCTAAACTATTTCCCATTACAAAAATAATTACTATCCTCAGCCATCTTCAAGCTAGCTTTCTCTGGTTTTATAATACAACTAACAAAGTTTAGTAATTGAACAGAACAATTTCCTAGCAAATGACACAAACCTGTGATGTGATATTAAGTGTCACTGCATCAAGACCAGCAGATAGCATGCTCTGAGTATCAGCCAGGGTCAACGTGACACTACCATCTCCTCCTATTCCTGGTGATGACATTACTAAATTCTGAGCTGGCTGTGACATGGGTGGTGTCGAAGGAAGATTCCCACTTGATGCACTAAGTTCTGTAAAAATTATGACATTATAAAAACTTAAATTTAGTACCATTACTAACTAGCTTAAAGTTGTGCAAAATTGCTAAATACCCAATTCTATTAAATTATTTTAAAAGATTAGGTATTATGTAATCTATGCATAAATTTAATTATAACTTCCGAGTTTATATTCTTTTCCTAAACTGGGGAGTTTAAAACAAGGTCTTCATTTTTCTGGAGCGGAAATAACACTAGTAGAATTTTTAAGACACAGAGATTTATTGGTTATGGGTTTTTTTTTGCAAAAGACGGCTCACAGCTACTCCAAAGAAATATTCCAGCCCATGTGGACATGCATTTTTTAGCTCTAGTAGTTTGAGTATTATGAAATACTATTGGCTTTTTACCCACAAAAATTCCTGTGGATATGGGCTATTTTTATAACCTGCAGTATGCCAGAGCTCTGATGGAGTCAGAAAGTACGTCAGAACTGAGTAAATGCAAGGCATTTTTAATCTACCTAGAGGACAGCTCATGGGAAAAATCTAATAAAAAAAAATATGTGCACTGAAATTGTTGACCCAGAGTAGTAACAGACAAAAAACATATTATCAATGAAATTACTGAACCCCTACCTGAAGTACTGTTCAGTGCAGGGCTCTGAGAGAGCAGTTGATCATTACTTATTGCCAGTGTAGTACCTGAAGACTGATTATTGATAGTTGGTGTTGCAAGTCGTAGGTTACCATTAAGTTCATTACCTCCAGAAGAACTGTGTTGAATGAGATCTTGGCCTAATAGAAAATGGAATCTATAAGCTGCTTAAAATTGCATATATATTTTTTGGTATTTATTTTAATAACAAGCTTTATATTTTACAAGCATATAATAAATAGTTCTATTGTTCTAGAAACATAAAATTTTGAGAACTGAGAAACCACAAACATTTAAAATATCAGAAAAAGTATATAGTATGATTAAAACAGACATGAAAAAGAAAAACTTAATATGTGAAGGAACACAGACACTGAATCATGTAAAGAAACCTGGGCAAGGAAATCTTTTTCAGACACTTTTACAAAAAAATTGAAGATTAAATAATTTCAAAGCGAATGTCATACACTGAAATGCCATTTTCAGAGCCTTCTTCTAGATGTGCTGAAGTAAAACCTATACTAGCTGGAAATGATAACGGCTGTGGTCCAACACACCCAAGGAAAGGTGTCTTGGGTCAGGGATGGCTGTCCAAGAGAAAAGATACCCCGAATCAGCTTGATCTAAAGCACAGACAGCACTTTAAATTAGGATGATGTACTGAAAAGAGCAGGGTAATTTTAGATGTCCATACTAGTTATGTGTGAAGAATTTGGGGGCAGGGAACCCACCTCAAATTTTCCCCAAATCTGTTTGTTCTTACACCTAGATTTTTGTCTGATAGAGCAGAGGTCCCCAACCCCCGGTCTGCGGCCCGCTGACGGTCCGTGGGCTTCCTTGAACTGGGCCATGGGCACGGATCTCCAGCACCCTGCACGCACACACGGTGGGTGTGTTGCACTTGCGGATGGGCATGTTGCACTCACGGGTGGCTGTGTCGTGCTTGTGCACTTGCGTGCGAGCATGACATGCCCACCCATGAGTGTGGGGGTGCCCCCACCCCCTGCACACAGAGCCCGCATCCCCCCAAACAGTCCGCAGTCCGAAAAAGGTTGGGGACTGCTATATAGAGGACTTCCCCCTACTTATTCATGGGTATAAAAATGGACTGTAGCTATAATTTTTACCTGACTATCTTTCCATTGTGTATAATATGACATTTAGTATTACTTAGTGACTGTACCTATTGCTAGCCTCTATATACAATCAACATTTCAAAAGTTTCAAAAGATGAAGCTAATTGTATATACTGTAATAAACCTCTGATTGCAACAACACATAAAGTAGGAAAAAAACCAATAAAATATTTTTGAAAAACAAACTTCAAAAGTTAATTATCAGACTTAATAACAAAATTATCACCTGTACCCTACTTAATTCTGATCCATCCCTGACAACCACTCACATTATGCACATAAATCTGTAGCTTAGATATTGTACTCCGTGTCCGTGTCTGAGGAAGTATAAACAGAACTTCATCCCAAAGGAAAAGTTTAACCATCTGTTAATATGAAGAGCTGACAAATAGGAACTTGAGTGACTTTATGAAGTAGAAAACAGTGCACTTGCCAGATATGGTAAGGGTAATTTCTTGAGGAGATCCTGATGAATTTGTGGATGTTGAACTAGAAGCATGAGCTAAAACATGACTCAGGCTTGAATTATTTATTGTCAGGGTAATCTCATGTTGGCCATTTGAGGTTGAGACAATACCCTGTGAAGTCATGACCTGAGAGAGATCCTGTGAACCTAAGAAACAAGTAATGGGAAAATAAATACATACATAACTACATACATATTATTTCAGGACCCAAGACTCAATCTGTTAATATTTTATACTCTTCTGATGTCTGTTACATGTACAACAGGAAACAGAGGAACAGATCTTATATATCCCTTAGAAACAATGCGCACCATACAAGATTGCTTTTACCGTAAAGCAGAAGTCACAATGAAGGGATGGTATTACAACTCCGTAACAAGCCCCCAAGGGCATGTAAAAATGTGCATTGTTTCTAGAGTTCCCTAACAAAACTAGAATACGTTTTGACAAAATGAGAATCTTGGCACATTAAAGTCCTTGAAAGTAACCGGTAGGATGCCATTCATTCCCCTTTGCACTTTGCTGCCCCACCAGCTTCAGGTTTGACAAAGTTTTGTTCAGGTTTTGTTGTTGTTGAAATTACTGTGAAGTTTACCTCCATATGGCTAGTGTAATTACCCACTCCCAAGGCTAACTGCATGTGGGCCACTCTTTACAGAGCAGCCCGACCCTCCTGTTTATTTTTCAGTATAATGCTGCATTCATGTTTAAAATCAGGCATTTGGACAAATAAAAGCCATAACTATGAACATGTTTAAGTGTATGATTTATAGACATACATTTGCCTTTATACAGGGTATGCCAAGGATAGAATTATAATTGTTATTAAAATTTAACTTACTATTTAAGCGTTACAAAGATGAAAAAGTAATTAATTGTTTGTTCCCTCTTCCCACATTCTTTTGGAAAGCAGGAAACTTTAGCCAATTAGAAGAAGTGTTCCTGTACTTTACTTACCAGTAGTGCTAGTAGGCAATACAGATTCCTGCTCAGACATAGATCCTATTGTCATATTAGCTGAAGAAGTAACAGTCGGCTGTAAAGACAAACTTGACAAAGGCTGTATTACTACATTTGCTGGTACCGAATTGTCAGTTGTCTGGAGTGAAGTGTTCTGAGAGGTCAGACTGGGATCTCCAGGGAGCTGTTGAGTAAGTACATTACTCTGTTGCAGTGTCTGCTGTAAAAGACTGGGATCAATCTGAAAAGAAAACACAGTTTTCCATGTAATATAACAACTTAACACACAAAACCTTTTCCCCCAATAGACTAGTTTTAAGAAATTGCAAACATTCATACGTATAGTAGGACTCCCCCCCCCCCCATATCTGCTAGGGATTGGATCCAAGTCTCCCCATGGATACCGAAAACCACAGATAATACCAAACGATCAAATCGATGGATATTTATTTATTTATTTATTTATTGCATTTATACCCTGCCCATCTAGTCAATCGACTACTCTGGGTGGCTTCCAACATATATAATAACAATTTAAAATATAACAAGATTTTAAACAGCAATAAACAATTTGTTCAAGATGGAAAAATAAGGAAGAAAAGAGGAAGAAAAAAATCAAGTGTTAACTTCAGGGAAAGGCCTGCCTAAACATCCAAGTTTTCAGTTGGTTTTTAAAGATGCCCAGCGAAGGGGCTGGACAAATGACCGGAGGAAGGTTATTCCAGAGGCGAGGAGCTACCGCCGAGAAGGCCTGGTTTCTTCCTTCTGGGCCTTCCTCGGCGTCAGGCTCCTCAACCTCACCTCCTGACTCAATTGGGTGATACGGGTAGATTTTGGTGGGAGTAGGTGTTCTGCCAAGTATCGACGCCCTAAACCATTTAGGGCTTTATACGTAAGCATTAAAACTTTGAAGTTGACGGGGAACCGAGTGGACAGCCAGTGCAAAGCGGCCAGAGTGGGAGAGATATGATGATATTTTCTCACTCCAGTGAGGAGTCTGGCCGCCGCATTCTGCACCATTTGGAGTTTCCGCATCAGCCTCAAAGGTAGCTCCATATACAGCGCATTACAGTGGTCTAATCTCGAGATTACAAGCACATGTACCGAGGTGGTGAGTGCCCCATCATCAAGATAGGGACACAGCTGGGCTATCTGCCAAAGATGAAAAAAGGCTGTACAGACCACCAATGCCACCTGAGTTTCCATGGTGATCGCCGGGTCCAGATGGATCCCCAAGCTGCGAACCTCACTCTGTGTGGTAAAATTTACGATATTATTCCTCCAGAATAATATCATAAATAACCTGGAATTTATTGGATACAGTCAACTGCCCCAAATGAGAGAGAGTTTCCCAGACTGCTGATGATGGGGCCACCCACCCTCAGGACCTCCGTCTTGTCTGGGTTCAGCCTCAGCCCATTTTCCTGCATCCATTGCAGCACAGACTCAAAGCAGCGCTGAAGGGACAGAACGGCATCCACTGAAGTTGGAGAAAAGGAGATGTAGAGCTGAGTGTCATCAGTGTACTGATGGCACAACGCCCCACACCCCCAATGACCCCACCCAGCGGCCTCATGTAGATATTAAACAGCATTGGGGAGATGATCAAACCCTGCGGAACCCCGCAATTGAGGCTCCATGGGGCCAATATCCTCTCCCCAAGCTGTACTCTCTGAGGACAGTCCCCGAGGAAGGATCAGAGCCAGGCAAATGCCTGGCCAACAATTCCCAACTCAGAGAGCCTCCTCAGGAGGATACTGTGGTCGACAGTATCAAAGGCTGCCGAGATATCAAGGAGGACCAACAGAGATGTTTTACCCCTGTCAGCCTCCCTCAGTAGGTCATCATACAGGGCAACCAATGCCGTTTCTGTGCCATGGCGCAGCCTGAAACCCGACTGGAATGGATCCAGGACATCTGTTTCATCCAAATGAGCCTGAAGATAATCTCCACCAGTTTGCTGATGAAAGAAACATTGGCAATGGGCCTATAATTGCCAATTTCATCCACCACCAAACTAGGTTTCTTCCTTATGCGCCTAATGAGTGTCTCCTTGAGGGCAGGAAGTACCCTGCCCTCAATGAAAGACCCATTAATTATTGCTGTGACCCATTCTGTTGTAATAGGCCTGGCTGCTTTGATTAGCTTGGCCGGACAAGGGATGAGGTGGTGGCCCGACAGCGATCAAGTGCTTTGTCCACAATATCTAGCAACACAGGTTGAAAGAAATCAAGAGTTACCGGACAAGATGGAGCGTTGGACATCTCTGCTCGAGTCACTGTATCTGAAAAAGGAAATCGCTCCCGGCAGATGGCCTCCACTTTAAATTTTTAAAATGCTGCAAATTGGTTCAGTGAAATACTAGGGGGAGGCCTATCACTCAAACCAATTCCGGATAGGTCGCGCACTATACGGAATAGCTCTGCCTGCTGATTTGAAGCTTTGCTTATTTGGTTAGCGAGATGTACTCGGCGAGCAGCCTTTACCTTGGCCAGGTACAGGTTAGTCACGATCCTGACAGCTATCCAATTATAATCCATCAGGTTCTTTCTCCACTTGAGCTCTAGCCTTCTCCTAAATTGCTTCATCACTCGTAGGTTCTGGTTAAACCAAGGTGCAGGCCGAGCTCTGTGTTGGAGAGGGTGTTTAGGAGCAATTGTGTCTACAGCCCTGGTGGCGGCAGTAAACCAGCGATCAACCAGAGCTTCGACAGGAGTGCCAGTCAGGTCAGCTGAGACACCTCTCATGGCATCCTGGAATCTTACAGGATCCAGTAGCCTTTGAGGGCGGACCATAGAAATAGGTCCTTGCTCCCAGCAAGGGGGGAGAGCCACTGTGAGGTTACATTTTATTAGGTGGTGATCTGACCATGACAAGGGGACTGACATAACGTCAGTCACCATCAGACCACACTCACTCCAATTCGTGGAAAAAAACAGGTCTAACATATAACCACCCACGTGGGTAGGGCCGTTGACATGTTGGGACATGTTCAAGGAAGCCATGGTTTCCAGGAACTCAAGAGCCGGCCCAGAAGTCTCTGCCTCCGCCTGAATGTTGAAATCACCCAAAACCAATAGCTTCAGGGACCTCAACAGTGCCACAGAGACAAAGTCTGCCAGCTCCAGTAAGGAAATGGCTGGGTCGTGGGGAGTGTGGTAACCCAGTAAGATCCCAATACCATCCCTGGCCCCTATTGACACATGGAGGGCCTCCAGACCCGGCTTTACCATCAAGGAGCGCCTAGTAACCTCCACGGTGTTTTATATATAATGGCTACTCTCCCACCCCTCCAGTCTACCCTTGTGCTGGACAGCATAGCCAGGCAGACAAGCGAGTGTTAGGGGAGGACCCCCCTCTCTGCCTATCCACATTTCAGTTATGCACGCCAGGTCTGCATCCTCCTCCAGAATAATATACGTAATAAATAACCTGGAATTTATTGGATACAGACCTGGCATTCAACAGCACCAGTTTTAGATAGCATGGTAAAAGGAAAAAATATTTTCAAATTATTACCATGCTATGCATTCTTCACTAACAAGCATTCAGAGCACAGTCGCTGGCTCCCTCTAACAGCTGGTTCTGTTTAAAATGTGAAAATAAAGTTTGCAAATCATACAATATTTACAGAACACCCCTTCGAGGAATGAGTGAAGCCATCAAATACTGGAAGGAGAAAAAACTGTACAGTGGTGCCTCGCTTAACGAGTGCCTCGCTGAGCGATGAAATCGCTTAACGAGGCACTCTGGGCCATCGCTGGAGCATTCGCTCAGCGATGGCCCCTATGGGGTTTTTTCGCTTTGCGAAGATCGCTAAGCGATTCGCTTAGCGATCTTCGCATAACGAAGCCGGGGAGAACAGCTGATCGGCGGTTCCAAAATGGCCGCTGGAAGGTCCGCGCCGCATTTTCGCGCCCTGCCCTCGCTTAACGAGGGCGCGAAAATGGCGGCGCTATGAAGAAACATCGCTGAACGGTGAGTTTTCAAGCCATAGGAACGCATTGAACAAAGTTCAATGCGTTTCTATGGTTTTTATTCCGTTTAGCGATGTTTCGCTATAGCGAAGGTTAATCCGGAACGGATTAACCTCGCTATGCGAGGCACCACTGTATATGTAAATAGCCACACTTGTTGCAACTTGTGGCCCTGAAATTAAACTTCATGTCTTGCACCATAACGTTTACTGACACCAGGAAATATCCCCTCTGTGTTTAGTTTGAGGAAGGAGTAGACACAACACTACAAAGATACTGAGAATCATCAGCATTTACTCTACCACCAATGAAATTATAATGGTATTAATAATGAAATTGCTATTTACGGTATGTTTTACAAGGGGTGAAACTATTTGTTCCTTTTCTTTTCTTTTCTTTAGAAGAATTAACTGTATTTTGGCCAACTGAAAGAGGGATTCCCTATTACACTCATAGAGTCTATTTGCTTAAAGATATACTGAGATAGCAGAAGGATGAGTTGCACTCCCCAACCCATTCATGGTTTAAATATCCTCAGAATGAATTGAGTTTGATTAGAGCTCCAAGATGCTTACTCTTCCATCCAAAAGAGATAATAAATGGGGAGGAGAATGGTTGTATAAAAAATTGAGAGCAAATGGAAGTAAATTACTCAGGTCATCTTCTCATATCTAGCAGCAGAACAAATACACAGCAAAAGTTGGTTCAACCAATTATGAACAAACATAACAGGTGCACACTTGCAAGATCTAACATACAAGAGTGTCTGAATACCTAACAGGTTGATATAATATAAAATCTTGTGGTTTACAAGCAAGGATGGAAAACTACATGGAAGACATATTTAGTGGTTAAATAAGAAGAATGAGAGAACTAAAGCAATCATCAGTATTTATCACTACAGACATATTTTCTGAATCTTCTACAGGAAGAAAGGCAGGGTATAAATTAAATAAATAATAAGGGCTAAACACACCTGTAATGTAATGTTGTTAATGCTGGCAGGATCTATTCCAGAAATCTGAACATTTGGTCCAACCAAGTTGGCAGCAAGCTGTAACTGTATTCCTTCAAGGGTTGCCAAACTGCCATCTGTCAAGGAGACAGTTAAATCCCCTCCAGCTACCAAAGAAAACAGGCATAATTTAGATTTTTTTAAAAACTATGTTTTTCGTTCTCAATATAATTTATAAAAATTGTCTTTTAGGAGTAAAAATCTTAATCCTTTCCACTACTAAAATTAAGAATGTTCTATCAAATCAGTAAAGAATGAGGTAATAACTATTGCTCAAACAGATGATTACTTCCAAGTTAAAATTCAACAGAAATACACTGTACAGAGACAGATAACTTCAACTCTGTAAACTATATTCAAAATTTAAAAAAAGCAAGCATCTTTACCTGACATAGAAGCAGGAAGTATAGCCTGGCCAACAAGACCTTGCTGAAGCAAATTCTGGTCAAACTGACCAGTTAGAACAGAGTTATTCATGATGAAAACATTGGGATCAGTTGAGGATGAATTAAGAAGATTTACTGGCTGCAGTTCCTCAGCTGGAGTACGAGACACAGACTTCCTGGCCTTCTTGGCCTCTGGTTTAAAGTGACACTGTATGTGAGTCTTCCTGCGTCCAGATGTTCGAAACCTTAAGTCACAGTGAGGACATTTAAAGGGCTTTGCTCCAGTATGCAGGCGCATATGAACTTTCAGACTGCCTTTTGTAGAAAATGAATTGCTACATACATGGCAACTGAAGAGTTTCTGACCTAGAAAACAAGAAAACAGCAAGATCCTGGGTGAAAACAAATAATATTTTCATATACAGTGGACCCTCGACTTACAGAATTAATCCGTATTGGAACGGTGGCCGCAGGTCGAGAGTCCATTTCCCATAGGAATGCACTGAAAACCATTTAATACGTTCCAGCAAAAGGAAAAAAAAATCTCGAGCTTCCAGAGCTGCACCCAGTGCCCTCTGCCTTCTGTCCCCGCTGCCCTCTGCTTCCCGTCCCCGCAGGGACAGGAGGCAGAGGGCACCGGGGATAGGAGACAGAGGGCAACAGGTGCAGCTTTGGAGCCGAAAGCTGCACCCACTGCCCTCTGTCTCCTGTCCCTGGTGCCCTCTGCCTCCTGTCCACAGGGGACAGGAGACAAGAGAGCAGCAGAGGCTGCTTTGAAATTCCCGCCCTTTCCCCCTGCGTTTCGTAGGTCGAAGCTCTAGCCGCAAGTTGAACTAAAATTTTGCGGCTGGAGCTTTTCGTACCTTGAAATTTCCATAAGTAGGGGCCTTCGTAAGTCGAGGGTCCACTGTATTTTTAGTTATTAGCAGATTTAAGATTTCTGTTGATCACATATGATGTCAATATTATACTAAGCATACCTAGAGCACCTGGCAAAGGGTTTAGCTGGAGGAGATGTCTCCTCAAACTGGTTGTTTGGGAAAAATCAAGAGCAGGAACCAGTTTCGCCCTCCTGTATTTCTCAAACTTTTTATCATGTGGAAACTGACTGAATATTTCTGCTTTCACTTTCTCATGCAAGCACAATAGTCATAGATAGGTTTTTAACATTGATAGAGTAATCCAGATCCAAGCATATCTGGCTGCACTTCTCAAAGACCCTTCCATTAACCACCCAAATGAGGTGGGGAAAGTACCAAAAAAAGGTCAAATAAAGTCAAATGCTGAAAAGCAAACTGTTAGAATGGCTAAAATCCTGTTGAGTAAAGTAGGCCAACATAAAAGAGATGACATTATCTAGCACGTACACTTGGGCACTTAAGAAAGGGTCTACCTCCATGTCCCACTGGCCCTCCACAAATATCTGCCAGGAACAGGATGGATCCCTTCTCCTAGGTATTCCTTTGGAGTGAACTCTCAACCCATCTGATGGACTAATGCTCATTCCCCTATGGCTAACAAAGTTAAGAGAACTATGTGGTGAAAATCTGATGTAAACAGTTCATAATAAATGTCTGTTAGTCAGTTGTCTAATAATTCCAGGTCCCTGGCACATCTGTGGTCCCCATTCCTTTGGAAGAGGTGTACCCCTTCACAATGGTATATTTTAGGTAAATGTAAAGGTTCCCCTTGACATTTAGTCCAGTCGTGTCCAACTCTAGGGCGCGGTGCTCATCCCTGTTTCCAAGCCATAGAGCCAGCGTTAGTCTGAAGAGAGTTTCCATGGTCACGTGGCCAGTGTGACTAGACACGGAACACCATTACCTTCCCACCGAGGTAGTACTTATTTATCTACTTGCATTTGTATGCTTTCAAACTGTTAGGTTGGCAGGAGCTGGGACAAGCGATGGGAGCTCACTCCGCCGTGTGGATTCAATCTTAAAACTGCTGGATTCGATCTTATGACTGACCCTGCAGCACAGAGGCTTCTGTGGTTTAACCTGTAGCACCACCACATCCCACATGGTATACTTTACTGAACAGCATTTTGACAAATTCTTCATTAAAAACAAAAGCATCAATTGTAGATAGTCAGCCAAGGACTATGGGTTACTTACTTGTTTTCCTTTGCTTATCTATTATGTAACAAATTGAACTTAAAAGATCTTATTACCTGTGTGTGTTTTTACATGACAATCCAGAGTAGACTTTACAGTAAAACTCTTCCCACATTCATCACATTTGTAAGGTTTTTCTCCTGTGTGAATACGCACATGCCTGGCCAAAAACAATCATCGTTCAGTTACCATTGCTTAAGGAACTTAAATGAATGGAACATACCAATTACACCCTCTAATAAGATTTTAAAATATCCAGTTCTCAAAACTTGAAAAGAAACTGAAATAGTTTGCTGGGTAAGCTGGAAAACATAAACATTTCTGATGTTCTGATTTTCAACTTTACCATATGCTTCATATGAAAACTTGCTTCCTTCACTATAGCATTATGAAATATTTATGGTAATACACTGAACACTGTGTAAACCCTGCTTGCACAACTAGACTTCCCCTTCCTCTTCTTGCTTCCGAACAGAGGAGAAATGTGTTCTCCAGCAACACCCATTCCACCGATGGGCAGAACTAAAGCACAGAATTATTTTAAGATTGTAGAGAGCTGCAACTATTTTAACACTGTAGATAGCTATAAGCTGTAAGACAGTGATAACCCAAAACAAGCTTGATTTTATTTTAGGGTATTCTAAGTCTCTAGACTTATGTTTTAAACTCCCTCACCCTGATGCTAAGAAGATGACAGGAAGACAAACTGCAAAAAGAGAGGTTACTTACCTGTAACCATGGTTCTTCAAGTGGTCATCTGTGAATTCACACAAAAGGGTTAACCCAGCACCAGCGTTGGTCCTCTCTGAACATTCTCGAGCTTTAAGGGAAAAGTAACAAAGTTTAAAGCTGCCTATACCATGCGTGCTCTGCCCGCCCAAGCCTCAGTTCCATTTATCCGCCACAGGTACCTGAGCGTGAGCTAGATACAGCCAGTGACAGAATAGAGGGGAGGCAGGGCGGGATTGTGTGAATTCACAGATGACCACTTGAAGAACCATGGTTACAGGTAAGTGACCTCTCTTTCTTCATCGTGGTCTTCTGTGAATGCACACAAAAGGGTGATTAGCACGCTTACTCACCGGATGGTGGGCTGTCACTGGAGGACAGACGTCAACACCGCTCTCATGAAACCTGTCTCCTTCTTGGCCCTCAGGTCTAGTCTGTAATGAGTGATGAAGGTGAAGACATTCGACCAAGTGGCTGTCCTGCAGATGTCAGGCACATCAACGCCACGTAGTAGGGCAGTAGAATATATGGCTCTGGTGGAATGAGCCCAAAGTCCTTCAGGTGGAGTCTTACGCTGAAGCTCATAAGCAAGCGAAATTGTGGAGACAAGCCATCTGGAGAGCGTTGAGGGCGATGCTGGGAGACCTTTTTTCTTCCCAGAGTAGCAGACAAAAAGTCTACTGGACGATCTAAAGTCCTTAGTTCGAGAAACATAGAAGGCCAGAGCCCTCCTGACATCAAGAGTGTGGAGCATGCGTTCGGTGTCATTTGTAGGCTCAGAGAATGGAGTGGGAAGCAGTAAAGGTTGGTTGAGGTGAAAGTCCAACTTTTGGAAGAAAGGAGACATCCAGGTGCAACAGTACCTTATGCTTGAAAAACTGTAGGAAAGGTTGGTCAGAACGAAGGGCGGCAACTTCGCTCGCTCGCCTGGCAGAAGTGATGGCCACAAGAAACAACGACTTAAGAGATAACATCTTGAGGTCACACATAGCCATTGGCTCAAAGGGAGGATGAGTAAGTGCATGCAATACCAACAGAAGAGACCACTGTGGAACTGGTGGTCGAACTGGGGGTCTCATATTAGTGAGTCCTTTAAGAAAAGCTTTAACTGTAGGATGGGGAAAAAGGCGTGATGAAGACGAGTTCTTAGGCTGGAAAGAGATGATTGCAGCCAGGTAAACTTTAATAGTGGAAAGAGACAACTTGAAATCAAACAGGTAACGTAGGTATTGTAGTAACGTAGAGAAAGACACAGGGGATGCTACAAGACCCCTGGCTTCAGTGAACTTCAAAAAAACTTCTCCACTTATAACTGTAGAGTAGGGCGGTGGAGGGTTTCTTTGCCCAATCTAACACCTCCTTAATTTCGGGGAGATCCTCCACGCCGTTAGATGCAGAGTCTCCACATCTGGGTGGAACACTCTGCCTGCATCTTGAGTCAATAGATTGGGTAAAGCTGGTAGTTTGATGAAGTCGGACGACATCATCATCAATGTTGGAAACCATACTTGCCAAGGCCAGTATGGTGCTATGAAGATTGCCTCCACAGGTGTGTGACGGAGCTTTACCAGTGACCTCTGAATCAGCGGAAGAGGAGGAAACATGTACAGGAGTCCTTGATTCCATTGAACCATAAATGCAATCCCTATGGAGTCTTTGCCAAGACTGGCTCTGGATGCATAACTGGTGCACTTCGCGTTCCATTGAGAGGCAAAAAGATCCACGTCTGGAGTCCCCCAGAGACGACATATACTGTGAAACACCTCTGTGCTCAACTCCCATTCATGGGTCTGGGCTGTGAGGCGACTCAGCTGATCTGCCAGGGCATTGCCCGTCGTGGATACATGGATTGCCACAGGAAACACATGGTGGAGATAACACCATTCCCATAGGTGGATGGCGAGGTAAAGCAGTGATCCTGAGCGTGTCCCTCCTTGTTTGTTGATATAGTACATGGTCATGGTGTTGTCTGTTAGTACTTGTACACCACGACCCTGCACCATGGGAAGGAAAGCTCTGAAGGCCTTGATGACCGCTATGATCTCCAGATGATTTATGTGGAGGTTTCATTCTTGTGCAGACCAAAGAGCATGAACCTTGTGCTGTCCGCAGTGCGCTCCCCATCCTGTGCTCAACTCCCATTCATGGGTCTGGGCTGATCTGCCAGGGCATTGTCCGTCGTGGATACATGGATTGCCACAGGAAACACATGGTGGAGATAACACCATTCCCATAGGTGGATGGCGAGGTAAAGCAGTGATCCTGAGCGTGTCACTCCTTGTTTGTTGATATAGTACATGATCATGGTGTTGTCTGTTAGTACTTGTACACCACGACCCTGCACCATGGGAAGGAAAGCTCTGAAGGCCTTGATGACCACTATGATCTCCAGATGATTTATGTGGAGGTTTCATTCTTGTGCAGACCAAAGAGCATGAACCTTGTGCTGTCCGCAGTGCGCTCCCCATCCTGTCGGACTGGCCTCTGTTGACACTTGAACAGTGAGGTGAAGCGGTCGAAATGGTCTGCCTATCTGCAAGTGTGGGGAATAATTCCACCACTGGAGTTGTGTTGCAAGTTCTGGAGTTACATGAAGGCGTTTCCTCTGGCTGTCTCTCATGGGATTGAAGAGTGCCAGGAACCATGACTGTAGGGACCACAGTTTGGGACGCGCATGGGCCAAGGCCAGAGTGGTTGAGGCCTAACAGGTGTTGGACATGTTTTGCTCTCACGCAGGCCCTTGGTTGAAACCTCTTGAGAGACTTGCGAAGTTTTTGAATCCGGTTTTTGGGCAGAAAAATTCGACCTCTGATAGCATCTAGTCGTGCCCCAATGTAATGCTCTACCTTGGAAGGTTTGAGATGTGACTTTCCCAAGTTGATGGTGAGGCCTAGTCTTGGAAGCAACCGTAGAATGAATTTTGTGTCTTTCAGAGCCTGAGTCCTGGATGGGGAGACTACCAACCAATCGTCGATGTAAGGGTAGACGTGGATGCCATTGAGGCACAGGTAAGCTGCCACTGGTGCCATGACCTTTGTGAATGTCCTGGGGGGTGTTGAAAGTCCGAAGGGCAAGGCCAGAAATTGATAAATGGTTCCCTGGAAGATGAACCAAAGGTACTTGCGATGATCCGGATGGATGGTCACATGGAAGTATGCATCCTTCAGATCCACCACCACAAACCAATTGTTCTTCTTCAAGAGGGGCAAGATGGACTCCAACGTCACCATCCAGAAGCGCTTTGGATGAAGGTAGGTGTTTAGGATTCTTAAGTCGAGGATAGGTCTTATACCTCCACCTTTCTTTGGCACGGCAAAGTACCAGGAGTAGAACCCATTTTTTAGATCCATGATTGGGGCAGGTTGAATGGCATCCTTTTCCAGAAGTGACAGAACCTCAGCTTCTAGAGAGGGATCGAAAGGTGTATGTCTTACAAACCCTAAGGGAGGAAATTCTATAAATTCCAGTCAGTAACCGAATTGGATGATTTTTAATGCCCATGAGTCGTTTGTGATGGTAGTCCAATTTCCCAGAAATGCTTGTAGTCGTGTGGTGATGTAATTTCCGGTTATGTCCATGGCAGAGTCAAAGATACTGTTTGGATTTTTTGACAGGCGGCTTGTAAGAATGCCGACACTGTGACTGCTGAGGACAATAGCTGGGAGCGGAGGAAGAAGCTTGTGAAGGTCTTTGTTGAGGTAAGCTTTTGAATGGTCTGTACTGTTGCTAGGATTGCTGGTACTGAGAATAAGACTTTCTCCACTGATATTTGTTGTATCTAGGTTGAGGTTGGATAGAGTAGGATTTTGCCGTCTTTTTAGCCTTATCTAATTCCTCTAAATGACTGTCAGTCTTTTCATTAAATAGTCCTGTAGCATCAAAGGGTAGGTTCTCCACCTTAGTCTTGACATCATCTAGGATGATGTTGGCAGATCTTAGCCATGCGTGCCTGCATATAGTGACAGCAGACATAAGAACTCTGGCAGTGGCCTCTGCTGCATGCCTAGTTGAGAGTCTTTGATGCTTGGATACCATCTGGGCTTCCTCATAAGAGTTCATAAACCCCTGGCGAACGTCTTCAGGGGTCATCTTAAGCGCAGGAAGAATTTTTAACCAAAGTTGCTTCTGGTATGCCCCTAAAGCAGTCTGGTAGTTAATGAGTCTGAGAAGAAACGAAATCAGAGAGTAAATTCTCCTTCCTATGATCTCTAGTTTCTTTCCCTCCTTATTGGTAGGAGTGACATGAGATTTACCAGTAGGCTTAGTACAGCTGGTCTCTACTATAAGAGAATTAGGAATGGGATGCTTCAGAAGAAATTTTGTGTCAGTGCCATGCACGCGATAAAGGTTCTCGGTGCGGCGAGACAAGGAGGAAGAAGACGGTTGATCCCAAAACTCCTTAATTATGTCCATAATAACTGGTACAAATGTAAGGCTTGAAGGGGGATCTCTCCTGGTTTATATCCCCGAAGATAAGATCTTCAGCGGGTGTGCCGGCTGGTCAATGTCAAGTTTAAGAGCTCTCGCTAACCTAGAGAGCATCTGGGAATAAGAAGAAAAATCCTCTGAAGGCGAAGAAGCGTGGGGGTCCCCAGTGTCCGAACCCACAACTTCACCCTCTAGTAATTCGCCTTGGCAAGGTTGGGCAGGAGTTTCCTGTTCAGAATCTGAGGAAGCTACAGATGAGACTTCGTTGGGATCTGAAGAAAAAACATCCCTTTTCCTCTTGCGACCCTGGCTTTTGAGCCGAGTGAGGAAGATTGAGTTTGCTGAAAAGACATAGGCACGGTCAATGTCGAAGGAACGAGTACTGCAGGTGGTGGTATTTGGGTGTTGGAGCCTTCAACATCAATGCGTTTACGGTATCGATGTCGACAAGGCCTAGAAGAGCCGGAAGAAGAAGATACACATCTTCTTACGCCATCAACCTCGATCAGTCGAGGTTGAGGAGGAATCCGAAGAACTATAATCCCGTTGACGCCGATGGCGGTGGCGTGCCCAAGCTTCTCTAGAGTCCTCAGAATCAGAAGAATGTGCTCGATGTCAATGCTTAGATCGGTGTCGAGTGGAAGAACGATGCTTCTTCTTCTTTTAAGAGCGCTTCTGTCGAGGGGATTTCAACCTTGAGGGCGCTGTCGAGACTGAAGGAGCCAAAGCTCCCCGCCCAACTGAGATTGGGCTATGCGGGGCAGAAGTCAATGCTGTGGTAGCTCCCACAAGCTGACTCGGCATCGGAGAGGAGACACCCGCTGGAGTAACTGGCTCAGATTGTCGAGGAGGCAGAGATGGAGCTGTCTCCGACAAAGATTCATGGTCTCTGGAAGACTCCTCCAAAATTGAAGATGGAAGGGACTCCGAAATTGGTGGAAGCAGTATTTCAGGCTCTTTCGCCTTAACGGGAGCCTTCTCCTTTGTTTTCTTTGCAGATTTAGGCAAGAGGGCAGAAGCTGATGCAGCCTTCTTCGAAGAGGTTGATTTCTTCGCAGCTTTAGTGGAAACCTTGGAAGTAGTCGCCTGAGGAGAAACGTTCCAGTCTGACCGAGGAGTAGCTGAAGAGGAAGCTAAGTCCATTTCCGACGGTTTAGTGGAAGACAATGTAAGTTCCCACAGATGGTATTTCAAGCACTGTTGCCTGGCTTTCAAAGCCACTTTGGTGAAGGCTTTGCAATGATTACAGGATCATGTAGAATGGGAGTCACCCAAACAAAAAAGGCAACAATCGTGGTCGTCGTGGTAAGGAAGTTTCCTAGAACAGACCCTGCAACGACTAAATGGGCTTGAGGGGGACATAAGATGATCCTAACAGGTCTTACTAAAGCCGCTGGCAATCCGGAGAAAAGGGCGGGAAAGTCCAAGGCAGCCAAGTTAGAGGAAAATCCTAAAGCGAAATCCGTAAAAAGCAAGTCCACGTCAAGGGGAAGGACAGTTCACGTAGTCAGTTCAAAATCCGGGTCGGAATCACGAAAAATTCAGTTAGAAAAAGATAATTTTAAGGAGCTCGAAGCGAGAGGTTCCAAGTCGCTAGCCAGAAAAATGGAACTGGGGCTTGAGCGGGCGGAGCATGCGCGGTATAGGCAGCCTTAAACTTTGTTACTTTTCTCTTAAAGCTCGAGAATGTTCCGAGAGGACCAACGCTGGTGCTGGGTTAACCCTTTTGTGTGCATTCACAGACCACAATGAACCTGACTTTTTCTTTGCCACTATGTTGTGGATGCCACAAGTTTCAAAATTCTTAGGGGTGTATATGTACACTGCATACTTTGTATACTGAAACTGTGTGCATATGAACATTTTCTGTAGAAATAACCTACTGATTTCTATCCGACAAACTTCCCTGAAATGACAAATATCCAAAAATCCAAAATAAACACTGTAGTAGCTTAGTGGGGCTTTGGGCCTTTTTTAGCTTGATCACTTACTCTCAACTGCTTTGGAAACTTCTCTAAATTTCAAGTAGCTCCAGCATGATACAACTAATTCCAATATGATCTAAAGTGTCAATAAACTACCTCACATGCAATTAGTTACATGATGCTTCAGAATGTGGCCTGTGTGGCTAAAACAGAACTGCAAAAATAGCATGCTTTGTTTAGATTTGTTAGTTTGGGTCTGGAACATTTTCTTACCTTACTAAGTCACTAGGTTTTTTAAAGCTCTTGGGGCAGTAAGTACAACAGTTGGCATATTTTGGCTCAGCCTCCATTTCTGCATGCTTGTCTTTGATTTCGCTAATTCTGTCCTTTTCTGCAGCAGATTGGACAAGAACCTTTTCAGAGACAGTTGCACTTTCTTGGGGTCTGATTTTTGCAAGTTCAGCTGTTTCTTCTTCTGTAAAAGTTATGACACCTGGCCGAGATTTTCTAGAAGTATTCCTCTCAGAGGTCTCTTCTTCTTCTTCTGCATATTTACATAGAGATCAGTAAGATGTCAGATAATACTTTTAGAAGCCTATTAAGATAATCAACTAATGTCTTCAATAGTAATGAAATACGAAACAGGCAATATGCAGGTCCTCTGAATCGCCATGTATGTTCCACTCATCTATAAACACAAACAGTGAGGTTGATTTCCAGTTTCCCTATCTTCATGTTATATACTATGGCTAGTATCAAGGGTAAAATAATATTCTACTTCTTAGAAAGAAGAAAAGGTAGTGCTGGTTCATAGTAGTTGTTAACATCTGGAAAAACAGTAGCTCACCTCCTCCTGCTGATTCTCCAGCTGTTGCTGCTGTTGAAGACACTGTTTGATGTTTTTTCATGTGCTTCTTGCAGTGAACTGTGGTTCTAAAGCTTTCATCGCAAAATGGGCACTTATATGGTTTCATGCTCATGTGGGTTGCCATATGTCTAGTAAGGCTTCCATTAGTAGTAAAGGATGTATTGCAAATACTGCAGCTGAAAGCTTTAACTCCTAAAGCAATGAAAGCAAATCAGAAGTATGGGTTTTTCTGGTTGTCTTAATAAAATCTATTCCTCTAGGTACTAGAGGCATATGCACCATGTATGCAGAAACTGAAGAAAAACAAAGTGCATTTTAAGCTGTAGTGCTAACTATATGGAAACAAAGTTCTAATTTATTTTACAAATATGGTGATGGCCTAGAGATTTCGGTTTTTTTAAAAAAATTATTTATAACATTTCAAACTCACCCTCTCTTGAAGGAGGTATACAATTTCTCCCAGCATTTCTACCTATGAAGTAGTCTAAACAGAAATATATCAATACTGACCACTGAAAAATAAGAGTAAGCTTCATGGCTGAGATCTGAAGGTGACTCCCCCGATTTCTAGTTCAGAGTCAGTACGGTTTACAAACTAAACTATATAAGTTCTGGTTTAGACAAGTATCAAAAAGATAGGGCAACCAGCATGTTTAATCTATGTTAAATTAAAATTATTAGAAAAGTACAAATTTAAGTAAAAGACATCTGTGATAATCATCATTTATATCAGGGGAGCTACAAAGCCTTCTCATTGGTTGGGTGATACCAAGAGCATTGCCTCACCACCTGACATCACCAGGTCACCATGTGCAACGTCAAATGGAGCTTCTTTACCTAGTGCTTTGCCCAGCAGCCTTGCTTCACACAGCGAAGGTACTCCAAAATACTCTAAGCCAACACTTGCAGAAACTAACCCATCCCTAGCATCACAACTCAGCAGGCATCTGCAAACATCAACTGACAGAAGGTGGCTTCATTGCGCTTTTCTCTTCCCTTTTAAGAAAAAGAACAAAGTATACTGGGCCAGTATTTGCAGATGCCAGATAAGTCCTAGAATCCTCGGCATGCTGGCTGAAAATAACTGGCTTGGTGCACCACTTTCCTTCCATGACAGAGAAACACAGGGGAATCCCTGCTCCTACAGCAGGGATGGACATAGTACAATCCATGCTTCATAAGTAAAGAATAGCAAAGTGTGCTGCTTATATACCACCCCATAGTGCTTAAAGCACTGTCTGGGTGGTTTACAATTTAATTATGCAGGCTACATATTTTCACCCAAAGAGATGGATACTCAGTTTACCAACCTCAGAAAATGGAAAGTTGAGTCAATCTCAAGCCAGCTACCTGAGCCTTGGATCGAACTCAAGTCATGAGCGGAATCTTGACTGCGGTACTGCAGTTTATCCAGTGTGCCACAAGACTCCTGTAGCTGCTACTTGCCCACATGAGCTCTCTGCACCTCCTCAAACATTTTTTAAATGTTTAAATGTCTATATGTTTTTGGTTTTATTGTTTTTAAATTTGTAAACTGCCCAGAGTAGACCTTTGGTCTAGATGGACAGGATATAAATCGAATAAATAAATAAATTAAAGATACAAAATAATTTGATTAAAAACTTTCCTTTGTACCATACAGGGGCTATGGGAGACAACTTTGCCATGTTCTACCCTCACATCCATCACACCATACACTCAAATTTTGGAGGGATAAATGTAAAAAAATATTGGGTGGGGCACAAGATGCTTTCTCCAGTTTTTTAAAAAATAGAATATAAAACCATTTGCAAGTGGGCAGAGTGCACAAGTTGCGCTCCAAGGTCCAGGTGGTGGGCATATGTGGTCTCTGGACCTCTGGAAACTCACAGTTGCCCTCATGGACTGTTTCCACATACTGGACTCTGACCCTCTGTAACTACCAACCCACACACCCCAAATATATAGGTTTTACTTCAGAGTCTGGCCTAGATGTCCTCTTCTGATTCCAGTAAACACATAAAGGATTCTGGAATATGACAAGATTAAAATGGTTTTGCAGAGAAACCAAATATTACCAGTGATTTATCACCTGTATGTGTCTTCTCGTGAGATTTAAGAACTCCAGAAGAAACAAATCCTCTGCCACACAACTGACATTTATAAGGCTTCTCCCCAGTATGTGAACGGACGTGCTGCTTCAAGTGGCTGGATTTCTTAAAACCCTTATTGCAGTACTCACACCTGTTAAAATGAGAATTTACTTTGAGTAAAAGGAAGGGATTGCTTTGATGATTACCTGTAAGAAAGTGCAAAGTGTTGTCACTGTTCCTGGGTTAATGTTAAGATGCAATGTGTATAACAACGTATTATACAGAATCATGCTCTCCATTTTTACTGCAGTAAAGATTCCTCAGTGACATATATCCAGACTGTGCATCCTGTGTTTGATCACCCCATCTTCCAGCACCTTTATGTGTGATATATACAAATTTTAAAAGCCTCCCACCTTCTAGGCCATTTATTACTTATTACCTTTCAGTTCACTGCTGTATCAGGTGCAAATCTGCTAAAACAAGCGGTAGAAAGCTAGTTCGCAGTATCATATGGGCAGCCTTATTAGAAATAAAGCTCAGTAAAAAGCAATACAGGCGTCCCCAACAAACACATCTTGCTCAGCAGTAAAGCAAAGCTCAGCTTTTACAAAAAGGGGCAAGAGCTGTCAAAGCATTGCTACTGTTTGTGCATTCTTGCTTCAGAACTAAAAATCCTAACAAAGATACTGACCAGCTGTCTTTCCTTCACTCTAACTCTGCCACAAGCCATCAATACCCAGCAGCTGAACTGCTGGAAGTCTTAATCTTTTCCTGCCAACAGCGACATTAAAAGGTCAAATTACAAAGTTCAACAGACCTGTAAGAACGCTTGCTCTGATCTTCATTTTCTTCCAAAAACTGGGAGCGTTGAGTATGCAGCTCAAGTTCTTGAGACTGATCTTGAATCAGGCGGGTAGTCTGGAAATCAAACAACAATCTTATGCTTGTCAACACGAGGCAGAAATTAAGCTGAGTAAATGTGATGAAAGAACCCTGAACTCTACATTCAACAAGCAAGGCTACAAGCCCTGAGCACAAATGTTTGTTAAACTTCTGTATATTGGGAAAGTGGGATGTTTCGGATTTAGGGGACTCATTGGCATCATGCAGGTGGCTTATCTTTATAGATCTTGGTCAGCCCTCATTTTCTTTCTCTCCAACTGTTGTGGTAATGTACTGTTCCAGGTTCTTGTGGAAATGCTAATGGTGTTGCCTTGTTCTTGCAGAAGCCACCCCCAAATGTTTCACAGCACTATAGCTGCTAGAACATTTCAAAGAAAAGAATGTGATAGTTGAGCCACCAAAATCAAGCATGTACTATTGTCATTGTGGATACCTACAGTGGCAGCAAGACCACATTTTGAAGAGCCATGAGGAAGCTGTCATGAGCATTAAAGATAAGCTACCCTATTCTGGTGACATATCATTTCCTCCAAAACTTGAACTAAGATACGCTACTACTTGTCCTCTGTCATTTTCTACTATCATTTGATGAAGACAAACTGTGTTAAAAAAGAAATAGTTTCTACATTTGACTATTTGACCCATGAAGAAATTCTTGAGGTCAACAGGCCTGTGACCACCCACACTCTACAGTAAATAAAAGTACTGGTATTATCATTATAATTCTTGTTTTTAAATTGCTATGGGACCCTTTGCAGTGGTAGAGTAGGCGGAAATGCTTTACATGAGTACCTTCACTCTTGAGCATCCACAATTTTATTAACTGAAAAACTTCAGGAAGTGAACAGTGCAATAGTAATACATGTTTGAAAGGAACAAGCTGCAGCATTTTTACCTCTTTACTTCGTATTTTTTTCATCTATGGCAGAGATATCATTGGAAGAATACCAAACAATTCTCCCTGTGGCAACTACCGCTGGTCTCATTTAAAATAAAGCTATATAGCAGAAGGGTTGCTATCATCACATGCTACATTACCCCAGTAGACTTCCTGAAAGGTGCTGCTATGGACATGGAGACTCTCAACATAGTGGCAACTATTCACAATTGGCTTTGTTATATGAAGGCCGTCTTTTGCTATCTTGTTAGGGGGACAGGCATGCAGCCCACAACCTGTTGTGGGCTGGGTAGAAGTTCACCCAAGAATCTTAATTATGGTCTGGAGGTATTGCTAGATACTGCCTTGTTACTGTGGGCCCAGGAGGACACCAGCAGTCTTTAATTAGCTTAGGCTGCCCCACAGCAGAGGTACCTCTTACAGAGTTACCTTGACCACATTATTAGAGCTCTGGTACATTCTAGGATTTAATATTATAATGTACTGTAACTAGTTAGCCGTGACTACTAGCTCATATAATTTGACAGGAACCCATATTTGACTTTAAAACCATGAACTTTTTAAAATAAATTATAAAAAGGGGGGGGGGAGACAACTTAAAACTTTACAGCAAATACTTACTACATTAATAGCATCTGGTGCAGGCACTTGAAGGAGATTTGGTTGATGGTAACTTGTTGAAAGAGCCTGAGATTCAAGGGTGCTTGAATCTTGAAGTTGTTGTACTGCTGAAAACTGATTTGTCTGGCTATACCCATCATTGACAGTAAAACCTGTCAGAAACAAATATGAAATCCCCCCTTTTTATGCTGTGTGCCATTCAGATATAAGAACTACAGTGTGATTAACTTACTGGCCAGAATCCAAATGATTATTTGCACCAACGTAAGTTCAATGGAGTGGCAAATTAGTTCCCACTTGAATTCTGCATCATGGGATAAGTCACACAACCAGTGCATGACTGGAAATTCAGTAGGAAATTCCAAGTAATGTTACTGCACTTAAGCTGGTATAAATATTCATTTGGTTTCCTTACAATTTTTGCAAAATAAAACAGCCCATTATCTTCCTCCTTTTGTGTACTGCTATGGCACTAAGGTAGTGTACAGTCACAACTAACAAGGAATTTATAACACAGAAAAGTAAGAATCATTTCCTTTTCATCTGGAGGAAAGCAACAAAAACAGAAGTATTCTGAACACATATGAAGTATTCACAAGTAAAATTACTTACCCTCAATTCCCCTTCTTGTGTACAATGTTCTTTACAGAGCACAATTTGAAGTTTGCATTAAAAGCTTTAATTCAGTCAGAGCCATTCAGTTTTGAATGTATTACATTCAAGCATGTGAACCAGCTCCCTTTATATACATTGGCACAATTATTTCTACAACTTTATTACAAAAGTACAATACTCAGTAGAAAAATGGTAGATATTATAAGGTGTGCATCTGTGTCTGACCTAATACAAGGAAAATAATCACATCAAAATCAATCCCAACTCATTCATATTTCTGCTATCCACCTTCATGTTCAATATAAATTATTTCCTCTATTACATAATGTAATTTAAATAATGAAAACAAGTATAGAAAGTACAGAAAATCAAAGTCTTCTTTTGATTTTGAGTTCCAGACTTTACATTTTGATGGGTTTTGCTTGCTGTACTCCCTTTTCCCCGAAAATGAGGCCTAACCTGAAAATAAGCCCTACACTAGTAGGCTTTTCAGGATGCGCGTAATATAAGCCCTAGCCCCAAAATAAGCCCAGTTAAGTGAAACCCTGACCTCCACCATTGTGCAGCAACCAGAAGATGACATGACTGTATTTGAATAAATGCAGATGGTTGTACATAAAAAAATTCCCTGAAAATAAGCCTTAATGTGTTGTTGTTGTTTTGGAGCAAAAGTTAATATGAGACCTCGTTTTATTTTCAGGGAAACAAGGTACAACCTAATTGAAACTTGTTTGGTTGCAGTGTGGAAGAAAGCCAGTTCTATTTTGGAGATAACTCACTATAAGAATGATCTCCCCATGGAAATTGCAAGGGCTCCCAGTGCTAGCATTAATTAGAGATTTATTTGTTTATCTTGGCATTTTCCTAATAGTATACATACAGACAGACAGACAAACATAGATATTATTTTAAATATTTTTACCCTGCCTTTCCCCTTAAAGAGGACCCAAGGCTGCTTACATCCTTGAAAGACAATATTTAAAGCTGAAAACAATGGTGGTTTACATCATAAAAAGACAATATTTAAAGCTATGAACAATGAGTATAAAGAGGCAGCTTACATCATTAAAAGACAATGTTAAAACTAAAACAATAAAGCATGAAACTACTAAAAAGGAACAAAAATATCACTATGAGAGATGATAAACACAAGTAGTACTAAAGACCCAGTCGAAGCACTAATACATAACAATCTATCTGAAAGTCATTCATGTAACCAGCCATGTAGCCAGTCACCCATGTAGGCAGTCACTGAGAGAAAGCTTATCTGAAGAAAAAGGTCTTTGCCTACTTTCAGAAGGATAGCAAAGATGGGGCCAGTCTGGCCTCCGGTAAGAGGGAGTTCCAAAGTCTGGGAGCAACAACAGAGAAGAGTCTCTCCTGGGTCCACATCAGATGCATCTGTGAAGGTGGTGGGACTGCAAGAAAGGCCTCACCTGATGATCTTAACACTTGTGCCAGCTTGGGCCGTGGATACCTGAAGGACCGTCTCCTTCCATATGAACCTACCCGGCAGTTAAGATCTAGCCAGGGGGCCCTTTTGAAAGAGCCGTCCCTTAAGGATGACATTTCGGTGCCAGGCCAAAACCTTCCTGTTCCAGAAGGCTTTTAATTGAAACAATATTAGCTGTGGGTCTGATGGCAATTTATATATATAAAAAAATTGTATTTTAATTGTTCAGAATTTTTATTGTATTTTAAATGTTGTAAGCCGCCCAGAAACCTTTGGGTAGTGTGGGTGGCATATAAGTTAAATAAATAAATAAATAAATGAATGAATGAATGAATGAATGAATGAATGAATGAATGAATGAATGAATGAATGAATGAATGAATGAATAAAAGTGGAAGACACAGTCTTTGAGACAACTTGGACCCAGATGAATTTAGGGAGATACAGGTTAAAACCAGCATTTTGAATTGTGCCTGGAAGCTAACTGGCAGCCAGTGGAGCTGCTGTAACGGGGAGCTGTGTGATCCCTGTAACCAGTCCCTGTTAACTATCTGGCTGCTGCATTTTGGGCCCACTGAAGTTTCCTGACACTTTCCATCAGCAGCCCCACATAGAGTGAGTTACAGTAATCCAGGCAGGAAGTAACTAGGCCATGTATAACAGTGGCCAGATCAGATATCTCCAGAAACAGATGTAGCTGGCATACTAGTTTTAATTGTGCAAAATGCACTCCTGTGTTTTCAAGCAAAGTGTAATACCATTCACTACAGGCTGCATCCCTATTGCTTGATCTGTCTTTAGAATTACCAAAAGCACCCCGTCTGGTCTGGATTAAGTTTCAGTTTATTCACTCTCATTCATCCAGTCCCAACACTGATTCAGACCTGAAACAGCTTCCTTGGATTTAGGTGGCAAGGAGCGGTACAGTTGGGTGTCACTGGCATACTGGTAACACCAAACCTTAAACTCCAGACAATCCCTCCCAGCAGCTTCATTTAGATGTTAAATAACATAGGCAAAACAGAACCTTGAGGGACCCTACAGCTATACAAATTCCATGCATCTTCATGTAGTGTAGTCCTTTTGAGAAAAGGCCATGGTGCCCCAAACTGGAAAGCTATGGTTAAGGATATCCAAACAAACTAGGATATAAAGTCACAGTTTAAATTGCTTTGGAAACCATTACCCATGGTACAAAGTTCAGACTTAAAAAGCAGACGTTTTGGTTTGCAGGAAAAGATGAAGATCAAATACAGGATGGACGGATTCCCTAAAGGAAGCCACAGAGTTGGGTTTACAAGAGCTGAGCAGGGCAGCTGAGAAGATATTTTGGAGATCATTCATTCATAGTGTTGCCATAAATTGAAGGCAGCGCACAACAACAATACTCATACAAATAAACATAAATAATGATAAATATTGAGTACTGGCTTCTTAGCCTGTCTACTCATCCACTTATAGTAAAAGAGGAAGCAAGTGAAAGCAAAGGTGTAAATACATGAAGCTTGTATGTATCCTAAATTTTAAGTCATGATTTAATCATCCATATATGGCCAATATGTGGTACCACATGAAGACACATTAAAAGTGATGCCACTGTTCAATTTTTATTATGTTTTTCCCCATACTGACAGACGAAGAAGTTAGGTATCAGGAACAGCAGTAAGACACTACTGTCTCTCACTCTGCAAACTTGGAAACAAGGAACTGAGAAATCAATTCAAACAACAAGAAACTTCATTTGTTGTTTTTATGTGCTGTCAAGTTGCTTCAGATTTATGGCAACCTGGTGAATTGGTATTCCTGAAATAGGAATTAATACAAAATATTTTCCCAGATCCAGATTGTTTCTGTCTCTCCTGAATATAAAACAGAAAATGCAGCAACCTTTGAAACAAACTTTTAGCATCCAAAGTGTTAATAAAAGAGACAGAAAATGTAGGGAAATTTAAAAATAACTATATTAGAGAAAATGCCAACAATAATGTTTGTGCACATGGGCATACACAATACACCTACAGATGCATGTCTCTACATTCAGATGATAAAGAAAAGGACCAGACTATTAAGCCACGACAATGTCTATGATTCTATCTGAACTCAATGGTGCTGGATAAATATTTAATATAAAATGGTGTTCTGTAGCTATGAGTTCTTGTTTGTTGGGATAAATCATTCTGTTGCCTGACTTTGCAAATTACTATAATAAGCTTTTAAAAACAGAAAATGAAAAATCAGAAAATGAAAATTTGTGCATTTCTACACTTGAGATACTTCAAATATATGTTGTAGCTAGCAACAAATAATGGGAGTGACCTACACTGCCAGCAGGAAGAAACAGTCTAATACAAAAGATCCAAAGTGACTGTATTTAGAGGGGGAGGCACATCCTCAATTTTCCCCCACTTCTTCCTCCAGAGGCAGCACCTCATTATCACATTCCATGTCATTCCTGTGAGAAGACATTAAGGGACAGCAAGCAGGAAAACCAGAGCTGAATCCATAATTAAACAAGATATAATATGAAATTTGCATATGAAATCAACAAGGAGCGCCATTAAAATAAAAAATATTTTAAAATGTTTTATTGTATATTAAAAATAATACTGTCTGTAAGTACAAAGAACTAAAAAAACAGTGTGTGTACCTTTAATTTTCCTACCTTGCTAGTAGACAAAAAAAGGAGAAGGAAGCATGAAGTAAGTATGTATGACATATACAGTATCTATATATCTCTATATATATATTTACCGGAAATTCAAAATTTCTCAAGGGCTCCATCAACTTCAAAGTATGGGAAATCTGCAGAGGGTTTTCCAAGTAGAATAGGAATTTTGTGCAATACAGATTTTAAACCATGCTTTGTGCCTAGCATTTACTGAGTAAATTACTGTCCCATGAGATGAACAGACAAAAGAGAAAAGTTTCTTTTCTATGACAAAAAAAAAGTTGTCTAGAAAATTATAATGAACTTAATTTAATTATTAAAGAGGAGATGAACTGTACTAATGATCTGTGATGCAGAAATCTACAAGTCCTGATTTCAAACACAAAGCACCAGAATCAGTTTTGCACTCAGTGTAGTTGCTGGCATTCTTCTCTGATACCTGTTCTCTTATCGCCTCCAGCACATCCTTCTAGACTTTTCCAAAGAAACTCTGGTTTCTTTCACAAAGAAACCAGAGGTAGGGAGGTAGGTGTGTGAAAGCTTGATCCAGCCCACTGAAGAAAAATCCTAAACCTTTAGCTTCTACACAAATAAGAAGAGTTTTATCCACTTTGATGGTAATGTTATTTCACACACACTGACCTCCTTCGGTACCTGTCATGAGATTATGGGACAACAACAACTATTACAGTTGCATATAGCATTACAATAGCAACAGAAACTCATATTTATATTTTTACTAACCTTGTGATAAACCTTGCTGATCAAATGATTGCTGTGCTATTGTCTGCTGCTCAAATTGATTTATATTCTCTTGCAGTGCATGTTGTGATGTTACAAATCTATCTGAAATTAGATGTACAGGTATAAACCATAGGGAAGAATTAAGCACTTTAATAATTACTACAATGCTTGAAATAATTACAATTACAATTGTTTCTCCAAAATGAAACAACTAAATGTTTAACAAACTGGGGAAGGAGATCTTTAACAAATATGTTTAAAATTCTAAATAGTAGATATTTTATTGTTTTAGAGACTGTAGTGACTGTAGTGTTTTCTTTGTCCTGAATTTTTTTAAAAAACCCTGTTTATAGCTTCTGCTGGAATACAGAATTTTGCATTTCCACTATGGTAAAATTACCCAGGGCATGTGATGATAACACTTACTAAGGACATTCTAATTTGACAATAGTCTACCAATTTCCCCCTGACTTTCATGTATGTTAGCAAAATTAAAACCCAATGCATTCCAAACGAAAGCTTTAGGGTAACCCTTACCTAACCAATCTTCTATTAAACTGATAACACTGCTATGGGTTTGATCCAAACTGAGCTAGTCAGATTAACTCACACTTTAGTACCACTGAATTCAATGGGGCACTCTGGTCATGACAAATATAAGCCCCATTGTTTTTAGTTGAAGTACAATGGAACTAACTTAGTCTGCATCCAACATTATGCATTTTGGGTGAGTTGAACATTTACCTTCATCTTGACCCAGTGACTGATCAGTCAGTTGTGTCCTCAATCCTGTTTCCTCTGTGTCTACAACTTGTTGTTGGTCTAAATCTAAGATAGCTTCCTGATCTGTTGTGACACCTTCTGTTTGCTGGAGGTCTTCACTTTCAATCTCCACTTGCATCTGAGTAGAAACATGAATGCTTTGTTGATCTACTGTTGTATCATCAATTGACGCAGCTTGCTGATGCTGCTGCAGCTGCTGTGCAAGCTCATATCTGAAACAGGAAGAAAAGATAGCTCTTGCATGGTCAAGACATTAAGAGGACACTACGCCATGCTCTGAATTGTCCATATTAAAAACCATGGCAATAATGAAAGCAGCTTTGTTCGGGTTTGGTTTCCTTTGTAATTTAATCTAATTCTTAAATTCTATAAATCACACTAGCTATTCCTATAAAAAACATAACAGAATATATCCTGCCCGTCAATAAGCTCAATGAGAAACTATATCAATAATATAACAATCCCACACCCATCAGAATACCATTCAGATACATGTACTATTATCCATTCACATATACACATCACTCATACAGTACTGAACAGTAGTATACAGATATAAAAATGTTTTTCCTCTTTTCTGTACAGTATCCTACCAATAGCACACAGTTGCTTCTGTACCAAACCCCTTTAAAATAGCAGTTTAAGTTAGAACAATACTTTGGAACTGTGCTTTGTGAACCCCTGATTCTTTACAATAAGAAAATAAACCATATCAGTTTATTCAATCTTACTCCATAAATCACTGTGGTAAATAAACATCCTAATAATTCATTTGACAATTGATATCAAATTCACTGGTAGATCCTTTAGAATTCCACAGGTAAGAACTCCTAGATAGAACCTGCTATCAATAAAACTTCCAAGTGCAAAACTATGAAACAAGTTTAGAAAATTGAAATGCACATACCTATGTGTTTTCATGTGTTTTTTGCAGTTTAATGAGGTTTTGAATGTTTTTTGACAATATGGGCACATATATGGTCGAAGATCATTATGGATACCCATATGCCTCCGCAGACTCCCACCTGTTGTGAAAGCACCATTACATATAAGACACTTGAAAGCTTTTAATCCAGTATGGGTTCGAATATGTGCTTTCAGTACTCCAGCAGACACAAAGCCCCTTCCACACTGGGAACATTTGAAAGGTTTCTCACCAGTATGTGACCTTTTAAAAAAGGAAAGAAACAAAACCAAAATCAAAGACTGACAGGAGGGAAAGCAAATGTATATTAGGTCTGAGTGATCAAGTTTATTAATTTAGTGTTGAGGGCACTATGATGAACCTCAAGTTCTCAAGTTTTGCTGCCAGAAGTGACGGATGAAAATTGACCATACACTCAGAAGTGGAATCTATAACAAAAAAAAATACAGTTCAAATCTCTCTTATTCAGCACTCCAGAGATTTCACTCCATATTCTTTCCCTCCCACTACCCTACCTACCTACAATCACTCAGTATTTTGCATCTGCTAAGGATGCTTACTTTCTCAGTAGACTGTTTTTATCTCTCCTCTCCACCTTTAGGTTTCCTATATAGTAAACACCGTTAGGTTTACTGCTTCCTTCTCTAAACCTTTGGGCTCCCACAAGTCTGCTGGTACTCTGGATCAGTGGTTCTTAACCTTTTTGAAAGAAACGCCCCCTTGAGCCATTGAGGAAGTTATCATCGCCCCCCCTCCCCGCGGTGATGATATTTGTTTGTTTGTTTGTTTATTTAAGACACTTAAGTCCAATGACCCCTGAAAACAAAATTCAATTCCAAGAAAATGAAATGCCCCCCAAAAGTAACATTTAATGATTTAGTTGCAAGCAAATTTTAAGACGCAAAAAGAAATATAAAAAGGGCATAAAAACAAACCGTAATGCAGAAACTAAAAATTTCAAGACGAAAACTCTGAAACTGAATTAAGATTGGAGGAAAATATATATTCATGCACATTGTAAAAAGGCTGCAACCATCTTCACAGGTTTGGCTTGCTCCAGCGCCCCCCTACCGCCCCCCTTCTGCTCCAGCGCCCCCACGCCGCCCCTTTTTGTTCTAACGCCCCCCTGAAAAATGAAATCGCCCCCTGGGGGGCATTATCGCCCACGTTAAGAACCACTGCTCTGGATGATGCCTTCTGGTACTCTGGATGATGCCTTCTTGCTTTCATAGGGAAGGGGACCCGGAGAATGAGTTGAAAGTAGGTACATGTGGTAGAAACTTTATACGTGTGAGGCCTACAACAAAATGCTGTAGCATGTCCCTGCATATTTGTATGTGTGTACCCTGTTTCCCCAAAAATAAGACAGGGTCTTATATTAATTTTTGCTCTAAAAGACGCATTAGGGCTTATTTACAGGGAATGTTTTTTTTCCATGTACAACCATCGATATTTATTCAAATATAGTCATGCCATCTTTTGGTTGCTGCACAATAGTGGAGGGCAGGGTTTCATTTAACTGGGGCTTATTTTTAGGGTAGGGCTTATATTACAAGCAACCTGAAAAATCATACCAGGGCTTATTTTCAGGTTAAATCTTATTTTCAGGGAAACAGGGTATGTATGAACTCAGACTACGATTGAGAGGTTGAAAAAGCAAGAGTAAGAACAGTGACACTTGTCTTTGATTATAAGGTAGGCCTTATTTGCACTTTGACTGGACATTTATAGAGAGGTTGTCTAAACACAACTCAATGAAGCATGCAATGTCTAGTTTTCATGCACAGCTCTCACTTTTGAACACATGGTCATTAGCTTTCCAACATCTATCCAGACAATAAGATTGTTCTCTTTTCTTAAGCAAAAATGGTTATGCATTTCTGCCTTCTTCTCCAGCCACATCCTTCCAGCTTGTTGTCAGTTTTTTCCCCACTGATTTATTATGGCACTGCTGGAATGGCCCATCGTTCCCTGCATTCTTTTAACACTTTGGCACACCTCAGGGTCACCCCATGTCTCCTCTTGCACATGGATGTTGTCCTTTGGGCATGTAAGCATGAGTCCAGGAAGATTCAAACTAATGTTAAATGGAATAAGTGACACCAAATTGTGTTGTGTAAGTCCATATTAAAAGTTAAGAACATTAAACCAATCCATCTATTGGCTTAATTCTAAACAAACTGCACAAGTATTGCAACATAATGTTGCTAGGAATTTAAGGTTACATTTCATACTTTCCTTCACATGTAAAATATCTCTGGGTTAATTTAAAATTATTATTGATTTTCAGTTGGTGAGATGTAAGCCCCAAGTCTATTGCCACCTAACTGATGTGGGCTGCTGCACTTTCAAAAGTTACTTTTTCTTCACTGCTGCCAAGGAATAAACAGGATGCAAAGCATGTAGCAAGTATAGGGGAAGTAGGGGGTGCAAGCTTTTCATCACAGTTCAAGAAGAATCTGAACCAGAATGGTAACCATTAATTCATAAGAAAATTATAGAAAATAATAGCCCAATTATTATTACATCCATTATTTAAAAAAGGTTCAGCATGGTAACATATACATTTAACATCTGCACATCGTAATATCAGTATTATTTGGAATGGAGAGAAGTTACTTTTTCCTTCTAACTGACTGATCATTTGGGCAAAGAAACAATCCTGTCTTGTACTGTGCTGTCCTAATTTACCTAAATGTTGCATGTCTTTGGAATGAAAGAAAAACAGTAAATCAGTTTGAATAAAGAATTGCAGAACAGAGGTGAAAAGAGAAAGAAGGTATTTCAGTTCTTAAAAACATTGTAAAATGCTTTCTTCTATAATTTACCGGATATGTTGTTTAAGATGGCAAGACTTCTTATATGCTCTGTGACAGTAATAACATTTGTATGGCCTATCTGCTTCATTCACAAAGCTATTATTGAAGTAACTCTGGAAGAATTGACTATTTCTTGGGATTGGCTGGATAAGACCTGTAGGAGGAAAAAGATGTATCATTGGAAATTCAAAATGTTTCAGTGGAAAAAACATTAAAAATGTATGCTTTTAAATAAAAACTAAAGAGAAGTATCTTCGCTTAATACTCAAAAAAATACTCTTTGTTCACCATGCTATCCAAATCATATGCTTTGAGCAATATCCAATACTGCAGGGGTCGTCAACCCCCGGTCCGCGGTCCAGTGCCGGTCTGTGGAATTGCCAGAACTGGGCCGCAGATGCAGATCTCCGCCCCCCGCACACATGTGCAGGGGGTGTCGCGCTCGTGTGGGGGGTGATGTCAAGCTCACATGCATGCCTGCAAGCACAACACCCCCTGCGCATGGAGCTCACTCCCCCCAACCTGTCCGCAGCCCCAAAAAGGTTGGGGACCGCTGTAATACTGGATTTCTGCTGGCAGACATGTGGAATTCAGCAAATATGAGATGGGAAGAACTATAAATGGAGCTCTTTAAATGGTCATCCATGAAGTCACATAATTAAGTTTTGCACCTGTGTAAAATCTCAGCCAGAATGTTCCAGAACTGCACAGCTGAAGCGAAAAGCTTTGCTCCACCAATCAAACTGTGCACATGCTCCAACCTATGACTGGCTTCCCCTCAAACTCCCATCCATCCGCCATCCAATAAATGAAAAAGAATGTATGGCAGTCAGATGGGAGGAAGGGACGGTTGTATGATTTCACAGATGACCACTCAAAGAACCACACCTATAGATAAGCAACCTCTTCTTGTTCTTCATGGTTCAAATAACCACATTTACAATTAAGCAACCCATTCTTATCCATAGTCTGCATGAATCTCACAATTGGACTCACCAGCCTGAACGTTGGGAGGAGGGCTGACACAATTGGGGCGGGGGGGGGTAATGAAGCACAGCTGATAATATTGCTTGGTCAAAGGCAGTATCATTTTTTGCTTGTAGGTTCAGTTGATAATGATTGATGAAAACACATGGCTGGGTCAAGGTAGCTGCTTTACAAATATCACAGGTCTGAACTCCTTTAAAAAATGAACCAATTTCTATACTATCAATTTTAGCTTATCTATATCTAGATGTCATACTTGGTGATTATGAAGGGTAACTTCCACATTGGAAGTAGGAAACTGTTGGTTGTTATCAGGCATAGGGTTGCAAACCAGGGTTGCTGACACCACCAAGGAGTTAGAAGGATCACACTGGACTTCCCCTAAGTTATCTTTACAATTACCTGATGAACAAAGGGAAGAAATAACTACAACAGACTCCCATTCCAAATCTTGGTGAATAAATCTCCCATGGAGTGAATTCATTTTCCAGCACTGGAGCAATAGCTATGACATTTCCAATTTGTCCATCAAGTGAACATGTCTGCATGAGGCATTTCCCCCGTGAGTTATCATTTTCAAAACTTCTGGAGCTAATGCCCATCTGCAAGACTGAGAGGCTTTTCGCTGAGACAATCCAATTCCTTACTATTGGATTCTGCTATGTGAGTTGCTATGGGGTAGACATATCTGCATATGCACCAATCCTACAGGAGACATGTAAGGTGGAGAAGAACTGTGGAATGAGTTTCCTCTTGCTTGTTGTGGGTCGCAATCTGCATTAGTCGACTTTTCACCAAAAATCTGAAAACTTTCAAGGCTTTGAAAATGGCTAGAAGTTCCAGATAACTGATGTCATTCTGCACCTCTCTCAAGGAGACTACAGTTCTCCCTCTGATACTGAGTCCAGGCAAAGGATTGTACTTGGAACCACAGCAGATGGTAAAATTGAAAGCACTTGAAATTGGCTGCCCTGCAAAGCATCAGATATGGTCGTGGATGATTAGCCAACACTGTCGGTTTCGAAACTGAAGATTTATGAGATTTGTGGGAGTTTCTTAGCTTTCTTTTGATCCACTGACCCCAAGTCTCTATATCTCTTCCTCAATTTCAAGAGAGACTTTGGGTTTGTTTTGGGTTTCAGGACTTGGACCAGGTTGTGACCCATTTGGCCTTTCTCTTTGGGACTAGGAATCTAAAGAATCTAAAGGTCAGTTGAATTATTGTTAGATTCATATTAAAGGCTGAAACAGAAGTGATTTGTGAGTCAATAGCCCACTGCCTGAAGGGTCTTTTGCTATATAGTTTTAGACACGACTGTGGATTTTTCAAGGCAACCTTTGTGAATACCTTGCAAATTGAGCATTTCAAAGATAAATGTGTCTCCTTCAAGCAACACAGACAGTTAGAATGGGGAACTTTCACCTTGTACTCAATGCACTTGTTAGTACCAGAGAGGTCATATATTTAGGCAGGAAAAAGGGAGCCAGGATTGGGGGTGGGAGGCACAAAAAACCTGAGGAAACCTAATTATTTTTTCCAGATTTTTTTAGGTTGTAAGAAAAAACTAAGAGGATAAGAATGAAAAGCAATGTGAAAGTAAGGAAAGTAATAATAGGAACAGGTTAGAATTTACGGTCTGGAAAACACTCTCTGATTCAGTGAATAGAAAGACTGAAGGGAAGCCGGTAGTGACTTGAAGCACATGTGCAGTGTGATGGGAGTAAAGCAAAACTTTTAGCTTCAGTTGGAACATTCTGGTCAGGCTTTCACACAGGTGCAAATAGCAGATGATCTAACAGAGTAACAGTAAGAGATGCTAATATGGAGTATTTCTTTCCATACATATCTTGCTGCATGGAATTATAAAATCTGTAATAGCCCACTCTCACACAGAATTATGTATATATGATTCCTATGCATTCTGATGGAATTTACAAACCACATGCTGACTTTGTGCCATCAGTTACAGACTATAGGCGAATGGTTCCCAATCTTTAGTCCCTAGACATCCTTGGACTACAACTCCCAGAACTTTTGTCCAGTACAACTAGTGGTGAAGGCTTCTGGGAGCTTTAGTTGAAGAAAATCTAGGGACCAATCTTGGGAAGCCATGCTATAGATCATGATCCTGTATTGTACAGCAGTCATTGCTAACCACTCAAAATGGAACTGTGAAGTATGGTGGCAGGATCACTATTATCACTAAGTACCTATTTAAAATACAGGTTTCATAGGACTGACCAGCAGAGCAGGATTAAGAGCAATATGCTAGATAGAGTTTGCTAGAAATTTGCATTTGCAGACATATACTATATTTTAGTATAAATCTAATCAATAGAACTCTCCGAAGACATTACCTAGATCTGTGATGAGGATTGGTTCTTGCAAAGGGATATCAGGTACTGGAACACTGGTCTTCCCTATTCGGATTTTTGCAGGTTTACGTTGATGTCGCATCTTTCTTAATTCAGTGTGTTTAAAATGGGAGGCAATGTGTGTCTTTCTGTGACCTGACGTTCGGAATTTTTTATCACAGTGCGGACAAGCAAAAGGCCTAATCCCTAAAATAAAAAACAAACCCCAGCAACAGTTACTTCTTTAATTGTTCTCATTTCAAGTGCTGCAAAAAGGTAAAGACAATCATATGTTTAGAAACTGCTCTGTCAGCTTCTATGCATAGCTTACCTCATAAAAATGCTACCTGTAAAGTCTTTCACTAACAAAATATATTGAGAGCACATTAAATAACTTACTTTTCCGACATCTTCCTGCTGCCCTTTCAGCATATATATTTGTTAATCTGGTTCTAATTGTGCACAATTACAGATAATTACAAACCGAAAGGAGAAAGGACAGGAAAGGGGAAAAGAAAAAGGAAAGGGACAGGAACAAAAGGTAGTAGTCTAGACTGGCATTGGCATATAGATAGGTATCTAACAATATATTTGATTTAAACTTAAGAGCTACCATTCTCTGTGTTGATTTCATTCTACAGATCAGAATGTTAATACAAAGTCATAGTCTAAAAAAAAATACACTCTAGGTTTATGCAAATCGCCTTAACACACTTGCAGCTTAATAACTGCCAAATCATATGACGGCTGCATTGAAGTGAGAAGGTAATCTATGGTTTTAATGAGATGTGAAAAAAACTAAGCCATCCAATTTCCTCATGTCTTCACATAGTCTAGAGAAGTTTGGATGCCTCTGCTTCCACATCTGATTGACCACAGTTTATCATACCATTCAAGCCCTGCAGACTGTGATTACTCTTCAACATAATTAATTTCAAAGGTAGGAACTGCAAACCATAGTTACTTGGAGCTGTCTTTCTTGAAACTATTAATACTTAGGATAAACCATAGTTCTGGATCTACAAAAGCTTCTAACTTTTCACTGTTGCATGTGCACATGTTCTGTGCTGTCAAGTCAGAAACAACTTTAAAAGCTTCTAACTTTTCATTGTTGCATGTGCATGTGTTCTGTGCTGTCAAGTCAGAACCAACTTAAGAGTGACCCTAATGGGGCTTTCAAGGTAAGTGAGATATTTAAAGAGTGATTTAACGAGTTGCACTTCCCCTGTGAGTTTCCATGGCCAAGTGGAGATTCAAACCCTGTCCTAGCCTGTCACTCTATCCTCTACACTACACTGGGAATCCCTACTGTTGCATAGGAAAGATAAAATAAAGGAGAATGCACATGTCTAGGGAGAAGCTTGAGTTGTTCACATCATACCTAAACCACAGTGATGTACCAACATTTTTCTTATATCCAACATGACAAACCCCCTTGGTAGTATTTATGACATATAAAGTCTTAATAAGTTTTCTTGTTTATAAATTAGGACTTTACAACTAGAAATTTTTTAAAATTAATTTTTTTTACTGTCTAAAACTGCAATAAAATGCTGACAATACTCTACAGTGCTTGTTTACTTGGAAGGAAACTGCAGTTAAGTTCTTTTGTCCCCAAGAAGTATCTTTAGGACACTATCCTGAGGAATCATTATCTTTACATTCTCAGGAATTTACCAAGAACAAAACAAAAATGTCCCACAATAATAAGTGCCATGGCTGCCAAAATGTTCAGTAAAAGTTCACGTTTTTTAAGAAAGCTTAAGAAGTGCATCATGAAACTCATACCTGTATGCAAACGAATATGCACTTTTAAACTTCCTGAGGTAGAAAAGCACTTCATACAGTACTGACACTTAAAAGCCTTTATGCCGGTGTGTGTTTTTATATGTGCTGTTAGAGTACTCTTCACAGCAAAGGCGCGGAAACACTGTGGACATTTGAATGGCTTTTCATGTGTGTGGATACGAATGTGTCGCACTAGATCACTGGGTTTCTTAAATTCTTTAGAGCAGTATGGACAAATATGCCACCGTATTCCATTCTCCTCACGTATGGAACCTAAAATATAATTTTAGAATAGATATTAGAAGCATATATCTTACTTGTTCAAAATTCTACAGATTCAACTAAAGAAATCAGACTATGAAAGGAACCACCAAGACAGCTACTTTTATCAATATAAAAGTATTGCATACTTTTATAAAATACTTTTCTGGCAACCAAAGTTCCCTTAAGAACTGTTCTCAGCAAGTCCCACTGAAACAAATAGCCACTGAGTAGTAACACTGCTGTTTCTTGCTTCTACAATGTTTTTGCAGAACATTTTCACAACAGATTCTACCTGTTATTTTAGACCATGCGATTGTTAACTACCTCAGTCACAATAATCCTAACTGCTCCCTGAGTATTCTCACTTCCCAAATACAGTATATGTATCTGGGCATTAGAAAATGCTAATATAAATAGACAGCCAAAACGTCCCATAGATGTTTGAGGCTGATTCTGCATACTTATGATTCTGCATACCTGGAATTTTACTAATTTAAATTGCATTATAAAAACAAATCCGTTTTCTCAGCATGTTCCATATCAGAGTAGGTACCCCGAGTCCTCTCTAGATGCTTTGGAAGGAAATACTCATGAGTTACTACCATGTTGCCTAAACATGCGAGGTGTAATTCGCAATAAATGGAAGCCATCAGGTTGCCTAACCTTGCCCTGTAGCCTAGGAGTTTACTGCTCTGTGAAGATGGCTCCTGCTAGGATGATAGACAGACATGGACTAGTTAGGGCTTCCAGAGTATAAGTACTTGGTTCCATATGGACTGGACGAATTCATCCATCCTAATGAAATCACATAGACACACACATTTTTATTAAAAAATTTCAACATGCATACATCCTACCTAAGTCTCGATATTTTGTTTATTCCAGCTCGGGTTCTCCTATAAAACAAATATTCTCAAACCAACATAGTAAAAGAAGCATTAAATAGTGCACTGATTCCTAAATTAAATATTTTATACAGACATGTTAATAACTTGCAGTCCCAATCCATGCAAAAATATAGCTATGCATTTCCTACAATAGGAATGAATGCCTCCAAATTAGAATAATTTCTATGTAGAATAGTACTAAAATGTCATTTCATCAGTCCACCTCCACTTATCACAACATGAGGCACTGCAAGAATGGATGGATGGATGGATGGATGGATGGATGGATGGATGGATGGATGGATGGATGGATGGATGGATGGATGGATGAATGGATGAATGAATGAATGAATGAATGAATGAGCAGTATGAGAAAAGCAGCCATACAAATACGCTGAGGCTTTGCAAATAACTCAGTCTATATGAACTGCAAAAGAAAAGGTGATTCTCCTGTCCATCCGCTATGAAGCTTGTTCTACGAACACAGATTTGCTTGAATGTTTTAAATGGAGACATGTCTCTTTCCTTTTTAGAGTTCTTAACTGCCAAAGTAACAATACATCTTAGCCTTCCAAAGATATCAGGGGAGTGATAGGAAACTAGTATTTGGCAAACAAGAGAAAAGCGCATTAAAGTATAAGCAAGTGTCATGCTATTATTCAGTTGTCTGGATACTGGAAAGTTAAGAGCAGCATCTCACCTGCTGAAACAGGTAATATGTGTTGTGTGGCTTCAGAGCTGCAATACACACTGAAGCACCTCTTTAACAACTGTTGCTTCAGTGGATGCAAAAAATAATAATTTTATGTTTAGTGAAAGTATGAAGGGATGTCTATTCTGGGTAATTCTTATATATATCTGAGCCAGAATTTCTCAGTACAGTACTCTTCCTGAGACCAAACAGATTTCCATTTTTCCTCTGCCCTTGACACCATAAGCTGCAAATGGGAACAAATTCACTTCAAGGATTATATTTCACATATGTTTTCTTAACATCAACCCAAGTCTGTTTTTTGTTTGTTTTTTTGTTTTTTGCAGGTTTAGAGAGGAAAGTGGGGTTTTCTTGCGCTTAGAAAGAAGAACTGAATTTAGGAAATCAAAACAGAGGTCCTATATATACTGTATCCTAATAGAAGGGTAGAAGGTTAGAAAAGCCAAAAGGGCCACCAAATCACCCTCCAGCTGAAGTTAAGGCCCCTGAGCACCACAGAAGCCCCATACATGTCTGGAAAAGTATAAAGGGCCAGGCCAAAACAAAACTAGGAGTGACTAGAATGTCATTTCTGATTTGTTTTGTTTTTTTCAGGGTTTAGGAAGTTTGTCAGACCCCTCCAAACCAACCTAAAGCAAAAGCCTCTGGGACCAGAAAAAATAAATTTTTGACCAGAATGCATAGCTTTGCTACATGCTGCCCACAGGGGAAACCGTGCACACCTCATCCTTGTTTAATCTCCCACTGAATCTTTTATCAACCTGTTTTCTGGTGGACGCAAGAGAGTATGAACAATCTGAAGAACTGTTACCACCCTGTATGAGCCTTTATATCGCTTAAGATATTTTTGGTAGACGTTTCTCCGGGTGCTACCACCTTCACAGGCACATCTGGTGAGAACACAAAACAGGACCTTCGCTGCAGCTGCTCCCAGGTTGTAGAATGCCCTGCCACCACAGAAAAGGTTGGCCTCCCTCTCCTGCCATTAGGCGCAGACTCTACTTTTTAGGCAGGCTTTTAACAGCTAATTTATGCATTTTAAAATCTGTTTTGAGGTGTTTCAACAATTTTAACCGTTTTTTATTTTTTAATATTAATATATATTTAATTGTTTTTAATGTAATACTTTATCTGTTTTAAAGGGGAGGGTGTTAATAGTTTCTGAGCCACCTTGGGCAGAAAGGCAGTAATGTAATGGGCAGAAAGGAAGCTTAGAAATTAAATAAATAAACAATCTCAATTGTTTGACAGTGACAAGTGGCAATAATAGGTGCAATAAAGGACTGTAAATAGTACCATAGAATCACCATACACAATAAGCACTTCACATTTACCAGGTAAAAACTGAGACTTTTTCTTCAGAATTCGTCTTTCTTTTTTCTCTACTTTATCAGTATTCTCTTGCTCTTTAACTTGTTCTGTATTGCTAGAGTCAACTTGATGACCGGAGATATTCTGAACATCCGCATTTTCATCATGTCCTGAAGGCGCTTTACTTTCACTGCAGTCAGCATTTGCTGACACAGGGATTGAAGAGAGCCCACTGTTTTCCAAGGCTTGCTAAGACAAAGACAATGAATTAAACTGAGAGCAAAATTCATAAGTATTTCTACTTAAACTTAGCTGAAAGGTTGAGGCATGAATGAGCCAATTTTCAAGAAATTATGTTTGAATTGTTTCAAACCTCAAAACTCTAAGTGAACTGAAATTCAGAAAACAGTGATAGTCATGCGGGGGGGGGGGGATTCCACTCCCTTCCATTAATAAGGCAGTATTTTTTTAGGACCAGCCAAAATTCCACAAAAGGTAGCAAAAGTTTAGGAGAGTTGAAAAATGGTTGCATTTTCTATCCCTTGGACTGATTGTAATAAAAGCTATTCCCCAACTATGGATCTGGGATGAATTCACAGATATTCAAGTTCATTACACAAGTACCTAAATGTTGCTACCATTATGCAGTATTCAGAATTGGAACAAAACTAAATCAGAGTGTAAGTTCAGTCAACTAACAGCTATGTATTTGCTTACACTCTCCACCCTCATGTTTGAGAATATTATAAATTAACAAAAAGTTGCTGCTCAGACTTACTTGCGTTGTTTTTAAAAAATATATTTTGTCACACAATGTCACACATTTCTAAAGAGGTATTTTAATTTTTCCTCTTTCTACTTGTTACCATTAATATTAAAATGAGCAATATCATTGTACACCTCAGAATGGAGCACACAACTGTGTGAATGAAGGACCAAGACGTTATACTCATCATTCCTTAAAAATGTTTAATTTGTGATGAACAGAGTAGCCTCACATACAAGACAGCAATTCCTTTCGATCAGTTCATCCATTAAGGAGAAATAAGGCACACATTAGGAAAATGGTTAATGAGGAATTCGGCAGTCACCATGAGCAACTTTCCCTTTAAAATAACAGTTGAAATCCAATAACACAAAGTTATGGCATATAAGTTTGATGATCTCAATAGCCACGAACATATTCTGGTAATTAAAATCTCACACACATTGGTTCCTAGGCCCTCTTAGGATGTCTTTCTTCCTGGGGAAGACTTTAAGGACAGTGGGACAGGAGAAACCTTAAATATCTGAAAACTGCTGCTGCAGGTCCACCTGTTGCAATTTTCAGACATTTAAAGTCATAAAGTCTTCCCACACCCATCACACTGTCCTTACAGGCTTCCCCAGGACCAAAGAGATCCTAAGAGGGCCTAGGAATCGGGGGGGAGGGACAGATTTTAACTGCCAAAAATTGGCCGCAGCTGATGACACCATCCAGCTTATACAATGTAACTTTTCATTACTGAATTTCAGCCAATGTGTCAGTACTTTCCCCTCCTACAAAAAGCTTGTGACTAGCAGATGCTATTTTACTATCAAAATAATCTAGCATCTTACCATATAGGGAATATGTGCGAAAGAGAACTTATCTAGCCCAGTTCACTAATTTTAGGAACCCTAGAGCATTGCTTGATGTTCCTAGCTGGACCTTTACACGCCAAGTACAGAAAATTCCACACAGTGAAAGGGGAGCTGAGAGTCCAAAACATATTACCTTACCTGCAGAATGTCTCTGTTGATTCCCACAGCCATACTGAGTTGCTGACCAGACTGCTGGGGCTGATTATTTTCCACTGGCTCGGACAACTCAAGGAGCTGCTGAATAACATCAGTTACAGATTGCTGGCCTTGATGTCCTGCAGTTGAAGTTACTGGATTGTCTGTCTATGGACAAAGAAATAGAGCCTTGAACGTACAGATATAAGCTGGAATGCAACCTAAGACTTATACACATTATTTAAAATCCAACATTTTGTTTGAGACATGACACTGGAGTATGCTGCTCAGTAATCTGTGTAGCTACTGTACATTGTCCTGTAATCTAGGTAATGACAGAATATGGAGAAGTATTTTAAATTCTCACTAAATAGCCCCCAAAATCTCAAAATAAAGCATTATCAAACAGAAGTAAACATTGTCTCTCCCCATATGAGCTTCCCAATCCTTTATGGTAAGCTGAAGACCCTCTCTTGTGTATCTGCCTGTACTTGAGACTCATTTGGCTGGAACAGTTCGGAGCACCTTCTTGAGCTACTGATGATTTATGGAATTCTTTGCCCCAAAAGATCCATCTAGCAACCTCCCTAACGCTTCCCTACTATCTTATTTTTCTTGCAGCACAATCCCAAATTGGAAAATACAGCATAAAGAGCTCATAAAACATAAATTACATATAATTAGGCTAAGAATTCAAATACTCACATTCTTCCATTTATTATCAACAGGCTGCAACAAATTAACAGATGATAATGTTAGTGGCTGAGCCACAGAATCCTGTGGGAAGGGGAGGAAAAACAGAACCCATATGTGTGAACCACAGAGATCACAAAAGTGAAATCCTGCAAATCCATTTCCATTACACTCATGTTAGGGTAAACCAGCCAACATATTCAGTAGTTTTATATGGCCTTTCTCAACCTTGGGTTACTAGCAAATTAAAACAAAGGAACTGTGCTAAAAACACATTAACCATCCATCAAATTTTGGACAACCATATCAAAGAGTAAGCCAGACATCTAGGAAGATTTATCATATTTCAGGACTACATGTGTTGCACAGCAGATGGTTGCATGAAGTATGCTGTTGCTGCAATTACTTAACACTGCATTAGCAACAGCAATAACACCAGCCCCCTTCTCTTGCTGTTCTCCACCAATCCTGAGACTGTTTCTCCTGAAGGCCCTGGCCAATATTTTCCTAGATTCAGACTTAGATCTACTGGGAAGCAAGAACTTTTGGCTATTTGCTAAATTCTAGATTACTTAGCTTTCAAACAACAGAGGCATTTTCACAGGCAATGTTTTGGGCGGTGCAGCATGCCATGCCATCTCTCTCTGAACTTCAACAAATGGGAAAAGACACAATACAGTGGTGCCCCACATAGAGACGATAATCCGTTCCGGATAAATTGTCGCTATCCGGATTCGTCGCTATATGGGGCAAAAAACCCCATAGGAACGCATTAAACCCTGTTTAATGCGTTCCTATGGGGGGAAAACTCACAGTTATGCGAAGATCCTCCATAGGGGCGGCCATTTTCGGTGCCTCTAAAGCGAGGCAACACAGCGGGCAGCCGATCAGCTGTGCAAAAATGGGGCCTTTGGGAGGACCACGGGGGAGCCGTCCCCCGCGGTCCTCGAAAAGCCCTAGCCGGCATTTTCGCCCAGCTGAGCGGTGGGAGCTTCCGAAGGACCGTGGGGGAACCCTCCCCCGCGGTCCTTCCAAAGCCACCGCCGGCATTTTCGCCCAGCTGAGAAGTCAGCTGGGGGAAAATGGGGCTATGGGGAAAAATCGCAAAGCGATTTTTCCCCATAGGCAACATCGCAATGCGATCACAAAAGCGATCGCAAAAAAGCCATCACTCTGCGGATTCGTCGTTAAACAGGGCGGCAGTTAAGCGAGGCACCACTGTATTCACTTGCATGTATTTCTGAGCAAACACAGAACACACACACAACCACATACTCAGAGAAGGTATTACTTCCAACATTTTTGCGACTGGATATTGTGAATTGAGAGCAGTGGTAGCCAATCTGAGCTGATATCCACTGTGTCTTTTAAAAAATCAAGATGTGCCCACAAGCCACAAAAATGTGGTTTGTGACCTCTGATTTTAAGGCATTAGATCAGTTATACTTAAAGGAATTTAACTGGAGGAAAAACATGTTTACAAAACAAAATTTAAAATAAAATGAACCTATGGACTGAAATGAATGGAAATTCTTGACGTATGGAAACTGTGCTTTAATGTACTGTAAACCACCCAGAGCAGTGGTGTCGAACTGTGGCCCTCCAGATGTTCTTGGCCTTCAACTCCCAGAAATCCTGGCCAGCAGAGGTGGTGGTGAAGGGTTCTGGGAGTTCTTCCAAAGCCACTGCTGGCATTTTCGCCCATAGGCAACATCGCAATGCGATCACAACAGAGAATGTGTGTACTGTCAGGCAGAATACAAACTGAAACAACAAACAAACAAACAAACAAAGTAGTTTCAAAAAAAATCCATTCATATCAGTGAGACGTAAATGGCAGAAATCCTGAATGGCTTTTAACCTAGTTAAAGAAAAAAAAAGGAGTATATATCACATGTGTAGACTCACACTCATACATAAATAATGTTTATAAGGAGACAAGAAACTAAACCCCACCCTATTCACCCAAAAAGGATTAAACTGCAATGTTACCGTTGTAATTTAAAAAATCCATTCATATCAGTGAGACGTAAATGGCAGAAATCCTGAATGGCTTTTAACCTAGTTAAAGAAAAAAAAAGGAGTATATATCACATGTGTAGACTCACACTCATACATAAATAATGTTTATAAGGAGACAAGAAACTAAACCCCACCCTATTCACCCAAAAAGGATTAAACTGCAATGTTACCGTTGTAATGTGTGACGTTTCCGTAGCAGAACTTGTGTTTTGTGTGCTACTCATATGCATCTTGCTGATATGAGTATTTAAGCTGCCTAAACTTTTAAAGATACAACTACACTCTGTACAGTTATATGTCGGGCCATTCTTCACCTTTAGGAACAGAAGAAAGGGGGAGATAATCAAATATTAAATCTGTGCATTCCACAAACAAACAAAATTATAATTAATCACAATTGAAAAATGACTTATTTTATTACCAAATTTATGGAACAGTCAAATTTGCATTACAGGTGATCTTAAAAGTAGAAATATCTCAAAACATTCAAACCATGCTTGTTAGCATGAGATAACATAACACTGATACCAAAGAAACACCATATTTTACTCATAGAACTGAAAAATCCTTGAAGTACAAACAATGGCAAGGGGTTTCCAATTTGATTTTTGAAGGTAAATAAATTAAATTAAATAACTTCCCATAAAAGTATATGGATCCTTAATTTTTATTTATTTTATTTATATATATATCCCGCCTATCTGGTCAATTACGACCACTCTAGGCGGCTATGACTACAAAAGCAAAATATAGATAAAGCAAAGAAAAATGTGCTTGGTGAGTGGCAGAGCTCCTGAAAGCTGGGCCCACTTAAGGTACTCCAGCAGTCAACTCTTATCAGATTAGCTCAAAAAAATAACCTGAGCTACTTCCTGAAAACCAGAAATAGCTCAGTTTATTTGGCAAGCTTACCCAATTTGGAAGCCAGATCTACACATCCCCAAAGGCCAGAGACCAACACACTACTATCATGTTGAAGAAACAAAAAAAGGAAATATCACGTATCACATTCTTCTTTTTCCCTCTCTTGTCACCACCATGAATGAGTATGCAACCCCAGAATTATTTTCCAGCTGAGATCTTAATCTGAGCCTGAGAAGAATGAGAAACCCTTTTAATACTCATGGACCCTGTGAGGTGAGTGTTACAAGCTCCAGAAAGATATCTAGAAGAAATTTCACAGATGGCACTGGAGTTGTTTTACAATCAGACTGCTTCTTTCTACTTCCATACCATTCCCTTTTAAACCCATTACACCATTACACTATTCTCATGTTCACGAACACCTCCTTTCCTTCCCTCCTTCTCTCAGAATTTTGTGCCATGATCACAGGAACATCCTCCTGCAATGCTTCTGGCAGTGGAACAGTTCCCTTACAACATCTTTATGCATCTAAATTGATATTAATCATCAAGTATCAAACCATATAATTAACGGCTCTCATATCAGTGAAATACTGATTAAAAGGTCTTAATGTAGGGTATATAACCCAGCTCTGTTATTACCTCTGAGTGTACTCTTTGAATATGTGACTGAAGATTGCCTTTCTGAGAGAAGGCTGCAGGACAAAAGGCACAGGCATGGGGTTTTTCACCCGTGTGTTTGATCATATGAGTTTGCAATGCCCCTTTCTGATTAAATGCTTTTCCACATTCACTACATTTAAATGGCCGTTCACCTGAGGAAGAAGGAAGATGGGGAGTTCTCATTAGTAAGAAGCAACATTCAAAACAGGCATCATGACTTTCCCCCTACAAAGTCTATGTGAATAAAACAAATACTAAAACTGTTCTGTGTAATCATTTTCCTGTGCTTTGCAAGAGTGAAAATAAAATCTAGCATTGATATGCATCATACTGATTTATTTATTAGAGCATCACTAACATGTAGTCACATGATTCCATGCATTCTTGCAGATGGACAGCAGAGGCCTCTCTCTGAAAAACTGTCCTAGTGAGCATCCTTTCCCTCAGATGCAACCATGCCAGTTTCCAAAATACCTGCCAATATGCAGCAGGTCTTGGGACCTGCAAATCCATTGATAGCACCATTTTACTTAGCCAGCTAGTCCAAGCAAACAGGTTGTCTACAGCTGGGCTAGAGCAAAACTGGTACAGTATATGTAATTTTTCATAATCCTGTGGAAAATCTGGTAAACAAAGAAGTCATATCCCAAGAAGTCATATCCCTACCAAAAACAAAAACAAAATAAAAAAAAACCAAGCACACTAGTATATAGTTGTCCTGCAAAAGTTTTGAGTGGACCTTCTCTATGGCTTCTCTGATACTGTAGAATGTGTTACCTCAGCAACACATCCTTCTACCAAAACTAACCCACTTCTTCAGGCAGGCTTTTAGCAATTATGACTGAGTCCCTGGATGCTGTTGTTTTTGTTTTTGTTTTTGCTTTATGTTTGTCTAAGTCTGTTTTTAAAGTTTAAATGCTTTTTAATTAATTAGTGGATTTTTAATACTGTATGTTTAATGGCTTTTAATCTGTAATTTACTGTGTTTTAGTATCTGTTTTAATACTGGGTTCCCTCACTGAAAGAAAGTGGCCTACAAATGATACAAATAAAAAACAAATAAATTCAGTTTTCTATGACTGACAAAATAGTTAAAAGAAACTGCAGATTACAAGCCACCCTCAAACACAATATTTAAAGTATGATACAGACACAAAAAACAGCTATCTTCCCTTCATTCTATGTAATATTAACAAGGGAGACAGCATCCTCCACACTCACATATGAAACAAAGTTTCAGAGACTGAAATCTACAGAGGATTTCCTGGCATATACTTCTTTAGATCTAACCTGATCTGCTGAGAGATAAAAAACAAACACACCACAGAGGATGCATTCATTCCACTGGGTGTGTTTATCTGCATCCCAAGAGCAGCTATCCTAAGAAAGAAAAACTATTAAAACAAACTATGAAAACTGACAGAGATTATTGTCTCCATCAACTTCCATTGAGTCAAAGAAATGCGGCAAATTTGTATTCAATCTGAGATTAACCGAGGTTTTCTCCTGGGAGCGAATAGCTTAAGTCAGTGGTGGTGAACCTTTTTGGGCCTGAGTGCCCAAAATGAAAAGAAAGAAAGAAAGAAACCAAAACCCAGTGGGCAGCAGCAATAGCGGCATCAGAACCAGAAGTGGTGGCAGAAGGGGGAATCTCAGGATGGAGGTGCCTCGTGACCCCACTCTGGAACTGCAGCCAGCGCCAGATGCTCTGAGTTCCTGGCCCGCCACCTGTCAAAGTGTCAGCACTGCGGCTGCAGCCACCTCCTGAGATTTAGCTGTGGGGGGGAGTAACGATCTAGTGACTTATGACTTGCGTGCCCGCAGAAAGGGCTCTTTATGTCAGCTGTGGCATGTGTGCCACAGGTTCACCATCGCTGGCTCAAGTGACTTCTGAATCAAGCTGACATTGTTTTGGGGAGGGGAGGGGAGGGTTGTTGCTCACTTCTATCACAAATTTAAAATGTTTCACTGCTCAAGATCATGAATATCATACACTCTCTCACATACATATTTCACCAGTGGATTGGCTTCTTATGTACTATTTCTGCATTTCACATACTAAACAATTCCTTATTAAACTAGATTCTTTGTTATGTCTGAAAAATTAAAATTCATTTTCCATTTAATTAAAATTATGCAATTCTAATATATTGGAGCTATCGGTTATATACCAATCTTTTCCAATCAAACAGAATAGGCAAATATTTTTCTATTACAGCTCGGAAGCTGCACTTCGAGTTTGCCTGCTAAAGTATATCAAAGACCAGCATATATCAGAAAGCTAAAAATAAAAGTGTTTATTGTAAATCACCAGTCTGTAACCAGAAAGCAGTGCACAACAAAATATAGAAAAACATTATTTTGAAACAGGCCAATTTTATAAAACTATTTTCAAATCAAAGAGCTTTGGTGAACTTGGAAGCTTTTGGTATTTTGTGCATTTCACACACTGCACATTAAAATGATATTATAAACCGGTGTCTTTAAAAGCCATCTCCAATCACACCACATATACCCACTAGCACAGCTATGTACTGTATAGTGGTCTCAGGGTACATGGTGCAGCCATTTTTCCTAAAGCTAAATAGGCTTGTGTCTGGCTATTGCCTACAGGTAAGATGACTGGGAACCCCATGTATTTTGCCTTGACCTTCATGATGGAAGAAAGGGATAGTAAATTTATGTTAAAAATCTGTGATCTTAAGTCCTACTTTGCACTGAACCTTTTACAAATGGTTGGGAAAGATGCAATGCTCGTTCTGTTAACCACACAGAGGACTCCCAATGCATATTACTTAATATGCAGTATATAATATGTTTCCCCGAAAATAAGACAAGTCTTATATTAATATTTGCTCAAAAAAAGCATTAGGGCTTATTTTCAGGGGATGTCTTTTTTTTTCATGTACAACAATCTACATTTATTCAAATACAGTTATGTCATCTTCTTCTGGTTGCTGCACAATGGTGGAGGTCGGGGTTTCACTTAACTGGGGCTTATTTTCAGGTTAGGTCTTATTTTCAAGGAAACAGGGAATATTTGTGACAAACGTGTCTGAGAAAACAGGTAACACAACAGCCCATTGCATGAGCACTTTCTGCACTTGCACAAAGAGGTACTTTTGTACCCTAGGGCAACTGCTGCTTGCACTGTGGCATGTTGGAGATTGGGTGGCACTACACAGGCAGAGGGCTCTGCTCTACCAGACAACAGGATTCAATTCCTGATATTTTATTTTACTAAAATGCATCCAAGATAGAGATCGGTTTGGATTAGCTTCAGTAAGGTTTAGTGGATCAGACCCACAGGAGTTGCACAGGTACCCCGAATTTCCCACCCCAGGCTTTCTTGCCTAGCCTCCTTATCTGAGTGGGCTCCCGCATCAAGAGGTGGGGTAGGGAATCCAGAGCGCCTGTGCAAAAACTGTGGGCCCGATCCACTAATGCACATCAAAGCATGGTTCGTGCCCATCTCTAATTCAAAGCCATTTTTACCCCTTTCTTTATGAAGGATTGATACAAAGTAACATACTGTTCCATAAATGAAGATCAATGGTTATGAAGCATACCATCATTCTATTAAACCTAAAAATGTTATAAACAGATTACTTATCCTAAAAGATAATAAAGAAATAACATCAAGATGAAACAATGCATGTCAACAAAAATTCAGGATCTCACATGTCTAGACATTTTCAATTTTTATTATTATTTATTTATTTAAATTGAACCTCTTACCTGTGTGTATTCTAACATGTCGTGTCAACTGACTTGGCTTCTGGAAAGTTTTTCCACAGTGTGGGCATGAATATGTAAATCCACTTCTGTCAATGTTTCTGTTGTATGATCTTGTATTTGATACCCTGTGGACATACATTAAGCAGTAAGATTTTATGGTAAATTTGATTCTTCAGTCACCATCTCAACTGGTAGTGAAATTATTTCATGCATTATCTTCAAGTAGTTTTGGCTCTACCAAGAACTACATGTAGAAATGCAGATAAGGTATCCAACACTGCAGGTAATAACTGAATTTTCCAACTTTTTAATGCTGAATTTGTATTAAAAAACAAAAGGAATCGTGTGGGTATTTGAGTAAGATTTGTGTAACTTGCTTCAGCTAACTGATGAGGTGCTGGGGCATGTCTTGGTCGTGCAATTATGCACATGACCACGCATGCAACCAAGACATATATTGGTATCTTGTCAATTAACTGCATTTAGCTATGCCAAGTTATCCAAACTTTATGGGAACACTAATAGCATTCTGGCCAATTAAAAAAAACAGGCTCCCATTACTTTTGCCACAAAACAGAGCAATTCTGAGTGATGTGAATTTACATCATCACACTCCCTCCTTATTTCCCCCCCCACAGCAATGCCAGAGAACTGATGAAGATGGATTCAAATTACTGTGATTAAATTTCTGATCAACTAAAAAGGAGGCCCTAATATTATTAAATTAATACACTGAATGCAAGTGCTGATAAAAAAAATTGCAGATGGCAAACACTACAAAGATGTACTTTTACTTCTACAGGGAAAGAATGCAATGTCTGCTACACAGTTGCAAATAAAAAAACATGAAAACTAAAGCAAATTGAATCAAGGGAACAACTAGAATTCTTGTGACAACACAATTAAACAATTCATTGATTAGGTTTCAGGCCTTACTGAAATGCATGTGGGGATCCACTCTAGAAAGAAAGGAATAACAAATGTCAGCTAAGAAATAAGCTACAAGAAATGGGGGGAGGATGATTTCTGAGTCAATTTTCACACATGTCAAGTAAAAATTTGTTGACAAGGCAGAGAGAATACACAAAGGAAACAACAGAGCACATGGGCTTAATCTGGACATAGGTTAATCTCACACCATTATTTGATTGTTATAGGTAAGGGGCTACTACTAGTCTTCTGCTAAATGAATTGGTGTGCTGTTCTGATGACTGCGTGAACTGGGCCAAAGAGTGGAAGTAAGGTATCTACTGTAGATCACAAGTTACCTTTAAACGAAACTCTAAATTTCTCACTGTCACAGTTAAGCCAAATGTATACAAAAATACATTACACAGCCATACTTTATGAGAGTTTATAATGACACTCTGCTTCAGTTACTCATCCTTTCATGTGAAAGCAGTTCCTGCTGCTCAAGGTATTTGTTCTGGGTTTTTCCACAACCAACACAGGTATTGGCCAATGACAAAGCCCTGGAATAATCTTCACTCCTAGATCTACTCTTGTGCAGATTCTTTTCAATGTTTACATTTTCTGCACTCTCTATAAGCTGGTATTCACACCAAGATGTGGCAATATATTATACACAGTAAGTTTTCAGGTATTCAATCATGATTCCCACCAGCTTAGACTGAAACTGATACAGGGTGTCCAGATGTTGATTTGAGATGTGTACTAACATAGTAAGCAATGGGCAGTTACAGATGAAGAACACAGCTCAGCTACAAACTGGTCAAGAGACCCTCCTCCAATTGCATTAACGAGGACGTTGGAACAGCAGGGCAATGACTACGATGGGAACTGTGGCTTAGTGTCCATCTTGACGGGGGTTCCTAGTTCCTTCAAAATAGGTGGCTTTGGAAGTTAAACAGGACAGACTGATTAGGCTTTCTTCGCACCTTAGGATGAAAGGCTAGTGCCAAACCAAAGGAGGGGAAGATATCAATCGTGGCATAATAATACATTCACCCTACCTCTAAATATGAGATCTTGCAGTAAAAAACAAAATAAAATGAAACAACCCCCCCCACCCCAAAGTAAATCTTTGCAGAAAGTTCAGGCAACAAACTACCACATGAGTATATACATGTATCTAGAGTGGTCGTAGTGACCGCCTAGAGTGGTCGTAGTGACTAGATAGGCGGGGTACAAATGAAATAAATAAATGAAATAAATAAATGAAATAAATAAACAAACAAACAAATAAATATCTCTTACAAGCATACACTTAGTTTGTTTTATTCTTCCACCCACAAATGGAGATGGACAAATCAACAGAATACCAGGTATGTTTCTACATACAAAGTGTATGCATATATAATGCTTGACCTCTTAAATCTTAAGCAGTCTTCTACTGATATAAGAGTTCTAGCTATTTTTAAAAAATTAGTAAATCTGATCTTTTCCCTATACTACTCTTGGTTTTGGTTAATATTTCCCCGCCCCCGTTTTCCTCTGAGTTGTTCTTACCAGTCAGACCCTCTAAACCAGCCACCTGAAGTACAATATTCTTGATACATTAAATATGGCAAGTCATATGAACTACTTCTTTAAAAAATCAATCAGATCAACTTTAAAGCTTATTTCTGCAGCTTCCAAGGAATTCCACTTAAGTATAAAGATTCCACTGCACAGTAATTGTTAAAAATTCCACTGTGAAAATTAGTTTTAATCATCCATACTAAAAATCATCCAGCATCACTTCTGAGAAGGGCAAGCACTGATGGATGAATAAGGACATACCTGAACCCTAACTGTGCCTGTGAAGGTATCTAAATATAGCCATTCTCACCTTATTTTGTAATGGGTCTTCACATGCTCTTTTAACTGGGAAGATGTTTCAACCTCTTTCTTACAGGTTTTACAGATATGGACCCTGCTTCCAGACAATTCCTGACGATGTTCTTCCATATGCAGGGCCAACTGGCTCTGCAAAGTAAATTCATCTCCACATTCTGAGCAGATAAGATTCTGTAAAAATAGTAAGTTGGCTTGATTATTTTTGGAAAGTGCAAAAAATACATTATCTGACTGATTTTTTTTAAGGCTATGGAATGATATTCTGATATAAAGTTCTATCTTGAAGAATTATTAAAAATCATATATATGGGGACAGGCCAGGTTGGACCATCTCCTGAAAGTTACAAAGAGGGTCTGTCCTGGTCTGTATGTCCTTTATTTGGATACAAAGTGGTTTAAAGGCAGTATACCCTATAATTTACCTTAGAAAGGAATCCTTCATGCTGCAAAGTCATTGATAAAATCATCACAGTTTATACTGTAGCTGCAGAACCACTAATTTCAGATCCAGGGGAAAGGAAGGGGAGAGGAAAGAGAAAAGGCGGCAAAGCATTCTGCACTGCCCTTTTAAGGCGGAATCAAAGAGAACCATGCTCATTGTTCTTTTAAAGTCCTTCATTCAGTCCCTTTCCAGTAGCTGCCTGAGGACGTTGATGGCGGCTTTCTCCTGGCAGCTACAAAATGGGAAAGATAAAAATGAAACAGAACAAGAACACCTAGTCCTGCAGATACCTGCTGCCTACCCAGGTACCTTCTGCCTTGCCTGCACCATGAAATGAATGGTCTTGCCATTTACATTTCTCTCCTGATGAGAATGGGGTTTTCTTGGAGAACCAGAAATACACAAATATTGGTGCAGACCCAGACAAAGTTGGGATCACGTTGTTTCCAAAAGGAAAGTCTGTGTGCCCTTATTAGGCATAGAAAGAGTCAAGGGACCAATGTACATAGCTTATTGTAACTTACAAACTCAGTTTAATAGAGGAATACAGCACTTCAACCTGTAATAAACAGGAAGTACAGTGGTGCCTCGCATAGCGAGGTTAATCCATTCCGGATTAACCTTCGCTATAGCGAAACATCGCTGAACGGGACAGGGAAAGCCATTGGAACGCATTAAACATCGTTTAATGGGTTCCAAAAGGCTCCTCTACTCACCGTTCAGCGAGGTTTCCTATGGCCGGCAGCCCTTTTCGCGCCCTCGTTAAGCGAGGGGAGGGCGCGAAAACGCTGCGCGCGGCCATTTTGAGGCTTCCGGTGGCCATTTTTTCCGCCAAACAGCTGATCGTCGGAGCTTCGTTTTGCGAAGATCGGTAAGCGAAACGCTTACCGATCTTCGCAAAGCGAAATTCTCCCTATCTGAAGCTCGTTGAGCGATCGCATTAGCGATCCAAAAAAACGGATCGCTATGCGATTTCATCGTTATACGGTGCGCTCGTTAAGCGAGACACCACTGTAACTAAATGAGTTAAGGCATGGGAAACCAGAGAGAACCACATTAGAACAAATCTCATTCACACTGTTTGCTACTAATTCCCAAGTCACATTTGACTTGTATATACAGAATTAGGTATAAAAATGTGTATGTACTGTATGTGCCTGTCCATATACAGTGGTACCTCGCTAAACAACGACCCCACTAAACGACGAATCCGGATAACGATGACTTTTTGCGATCGCTATAGCAATTCGCGAAACAGTCATTTCAATGGGGGATTTTCGCTGGATGTTGATTAGGTCCGTACTTCGCGAACCATTTGTTCACAAGACGACGATTTTTTCGGCTTCGCAAAATGGCTGCCCTGTATTTTCCAGAACCATGCTTCGCAGGGCAGCCATTTTTACAGCTGATCAGCGGTCACAAAATGGCTTCCCTATGGGCAATCTTCGCTGGACAACGAGGTATTTTCCCCACTGGAACACATTAAACCGGGTTTCAATGCATTCCAATGGGGAAAGGGTTTTTGCATGACGATGATTTCGCTAGACAGCAATTTTCACGGGATGGATTATCGTCGTCATGCGGGGCACCACTGTATATACATTGGTGAACATGTGGGGGGGGAGAAAGAGGGAAGGAAGGAGACACTTACCTGTGATACTTTAATTCTTAAAGTTTTTCAGAATGACATATGTACAGAATTAGTTTTTTCCTTACTGCTCCTCACAAAGCTTTTTTCTTTAAACAAGAGAATAACAAGAAGAAAGGAAACCAAAACAAAGCAAAAAAACTTTCCCAAACACAGGGAGGAAAAGAAACTGGGCATGGAGCATAGGGTCCATACACCAATTACTCAATTCTGAACATGTGGCCGTCATCTTTCCCCAGTAGTTCTGTGAGTTAACCCATTCATGGATGGTTCCCTCACAACAGATAGAAACAACTTATACAGTGGTGCCTCGACTTACGAAATTAATCCGTATTGGAACGGTGGCCATAACTCAAAAATTTCGTAAGTCAAAGCACCATTTCCCATAGGAATGCACTGAAAACCATTTAATCCGTTCCAGCCAAAAGAAAAAAAATCACCAAAAAAAAATCAATCAATAAAATTCTCCTGCAGTGACGGAGGCAGCGGGGACGGGAGGCAGAGGGCAGTGGGGACAGGACGCAGAAGGCAGTGGGGATGGGAAGCAGAGGGCAGTGGGGGCAGCTTGGGAAGCCTGGGAAGCCAAAAGCCGCCCCCAACCTCCACACTGAGTGCCGGGTTCCCAGGCTTCCAAAGCCGCCCCCAACCTCTGCACCGGGTGCCAGCTTCCCGGACTTCCAAAGCACTGGCACCCGGCACAGCGGTCAGGGCGGTGTTGGAAGCCCGGAAGGCTGAGCCTCCCTTTTCCTAACCATTGGGGCAAAGAAGCAGCCTCTTCGCCACCAACAGTCTGAATTTCCTGCCCTTCCCCCCTGCCTTTTTTCATCCCTAACTTGAAGTTCCGGCCGCAAGTCGAAGCAAAATTTTAAGGCAGGAGCTTTTCATAACTCAAAATTTTTGTAAGTAGGGACGTTCATAAGTCAAGACCCCACTGTACTTTGTTCCCTACTGAATTAGAAGATGGTTAATAAAGAGTGTCCTCCCCTTTGCTAAACTTTTATATTCACACAAACAATATTTTCATGCAACTACAGAAGCCATTTATGGGCAATCAAAAAACAATTTTATATGTATTCGCGAAGGCTTTCACGGCTGGGATCTAATGGTTGTTGTGGGTTTTTCTGGCTCTTTGGCAGTGTTCTGAATGGTTGTTGTGGGTTTTTCCGGCTCTTTGGCAGTGTTCTGAATGGTTGTTGTGGGTTTTTCCGGCTCTTTGGCAGTGTTCCTAACGTTTCGCCAGTCTCTGTGGCCGGCATCTTCAAAGGACAGGAGTAGCACTCTGTGCTCTAGTGCAGTTTGTTTGGGAGTTGAGTATTTATAGATGTTGGATCAGCTTTTGTCCTTTTCAGATGAGTCCCGTCTGCCCTCTGCGTATAAACAGACAGATGGAGTGGCCATGGGGAGTCCCCTCAGCCTGGTTATACATGAAGCATTTCGAAAAAAAGGCCCTGGCTTCGGCACCCTTCGCACCCAAAGTCTGGTTCCAATATGTGGGTGACACCTTCACAATCTGGAATCACGGTGAAGAAAAATTAGAAGAATTTCTAAACCATCTCAACAGCATCCACCCAAATATACAATTCACCATGGAAAAAGAAATAGTGGGCCAACTCCCGTTCTTAGATGTCATGGTCATATGCAAAACTGACCTCCTATTGGGACACAAGGTCTACAGAAAACCCACCTACACAGACCGGTACCTACACAAAAACTTCAACCACCACCCACAGCAAGAAAGAGGCACAATCAAGACACTGGTAGACCATGCAAATCGGAACTGTGAAGCTCATTTTCTTTGCACCAAACTCAACCATCTGAATTGGGCCCTACAGGCAAATGGCTACTCCAAAAATGAAATCACAATAGCCATCAAACCAAGAAAACAACATCAAACTGAAGAAGAAAAACAGCCACCCACAAATAAAGTATTTCTGCCATACATCAAAGGGGTCATGGACCGCATGAGGAAACTTTTAAAAAAACAGAACCTACAAAGACTATTCAAGCCCACCACAAAAATACAACAAATGTTACGGTCAGCAAAGGACAGAAGGGACCCCCTCACCACCATAGGAGTATACCGGATACCTTGCAGTTGTGGCAGGTATAAACTGGAACCACAAAACAAAGCACCCAAACCAGAATCAAAGAACATGAGAGATACTGCAGACTAAAACAACATAAAAAAATCGGCGGCAGCTGAACATGCTCTAAAACAAGCTGGACATGAAATTCTATTTCAAAATACTGATATACTGGACAACACCAGCAATCATTACGTTAGACTGCACAGGGAAGCCATTGAAATCCACAAATACCAGCAGAGCGTCAACAAAAAAGAAGAAAGTTTAAAACTCAACAAAGCTTGGCTCCCGGCACTGAAAAATGCAAAAGGTCAACCAAGTCTACCCAGCCACAAGGACCAGTGATCACTACACACAAAAGGCTAGCTAACAACACCCATCAATCACAGTGACAGATAATCTCTCCTCCTTATCACAACAATAAACCCACAACAAAAACACACTGATCACCATAATCACTCATCTCCTGAAAAGGACAAAAGCTGATCCAACAGCTATACTCAACTCCCTAACAAACTGCACCAGAGTACAGAGTGCTACTCCTGTCCTCTGAAGATGCCAGCCACAGAGACTGGCGAAACGTTAGGAAGAACAACCTTCAGAACACGGCCAAAGAACCTGAAAAACCCACAACAACCAATTTCGTTATATAGTTGGTTTGTATCTTCCTGCACAGTCATACCTGTATAACTCAAAATTACACCCATCATATCTACAACAGTGCTGAGGTGGAAGTGCTACGCATGAATGTGCAATACATCAAAATGGGAATCATTATTTTTTATTATTTATTTATTTATTGTCATTGTAAGTATATACACAGTATACCCATACAATGAAATTCACAATCATGCAACCAATTGTGCAAACACCTTGTGCAGTCCTTGTTGTGAGGGGCTTGCTTGGCCTTGATGAAGAGAATTCCTACCTCTGTGTCCTAGAAGTACTTTAAAAATGACTATAATTACCTCTTCCTTTTCATGAAGCATAATATGAGCTTTAAGACTAGCCACTCTGGAGAATTTTTTGTTGCACACAGGACAGGTAGGATCTTCTCCATTGTGCGTACATTTATGTAGTGTGAGGTTGAATTCAACATTAAATGACATCGGACATTGGTCACATCGATGAGGCTATTGTGAAAACAAACAAGACAATACCTAAGGTTAATACTTCCACTGAGAAGACAGTTTAAAAGACAAAAGTCACGATATTATGACTGTAACCCACCCTGCAAACGTCAGCACTGAAAGTGCAACATACAAATTGAAACAAATAAAATCATAACTGGAGTATAAAATTATAAAATTTCTTGACTGCATCCTCATGATGACATGTCTTCTTAAACTTTTCCATTAATTAATTTGCTATATTTACATGCTGCCATTGTGATAACTGACTATGTCAGATATTTGAAGAATCTAATGTAGATTTGCATACTAGAGCTTTAAGACAGGAAAACAAACCTGAAACATTGACTTGGAAAATTAATGTTTCCTTACTATAATCCCAGATTTCTCCTCTTCATCCCAGATTTTTAATTAGTAGTGTAGATTTTAAAACAAAGCTCTTCGCAAAGCTGGAATTCACACAGAATTACTCCATATCTCATTTTTCTACATTCAGTAGGTCAAGCAAGCTATAACTCACAATACCAGCAATTAAGCCTGGAACAATGTAGCAGCCATATAAAATGAGATATAATTTTTATTTTTCTGGATACACATGAGCGCAGGAGGAGAGAAAAATTCTGTGCGCTAGAGCCTACTCAAAATTTAATTTACAAAGAATACTGGAATTTAATTCATAAACAAATGAAACAAATTCTTATACTTTTCACCTCAGCCATTTTGTCATAAAATCTTCACAGATTTACCGAGATACCTACCTTGTCATTTTGCTCATGATCCCTCATGTGGCACTGGAACTGTATTTTTTTATGATGGCAAAAAACTGATTTCACACGTATGAAAATTTGATACTTGTTGGATATAATTATGGTTCACTGTATTCACTGTTAGAACACCATCTATAAAATAAACATAGTAAAAAAGTTCATTTTAAATGAAACTTATTTGATCAAAATGATCCATGTTCATTTTCAAGCAGCAGTTTTTATGCTTTTCTTTTGTAAACGTTCACATAGCTTGAACACAAATACACACACAAGGTAGCCTGTAACTCTTTCCCTTTCATTTGTTCTTTTCTAACAATACTAACCACATTAATTAGCTGCAATGTTATGCAAACCTTATTAAAAACATCAACAGGGTTATGACCACTGAGTTATTATGCATTTTATACTGTAAAAGCAGTAAATTAAACCTAGTTTTAATAAGAACAGAAGTACTGTATATATTTTTATTATTTCAAAAAAAAAAAAACTGTTTACCCTGAGAGCCATACATAATTCTGAACTTGAAATCTGTTCTCAAAACTGAAACATAGCAAAATAACATAGTTACCAGGGACTTATGATGTACCACACTTTATATTACAGATAAGCCACATGGACAGGGCATTTTAGTTCCTTTGGTTTTGTCATAAATGTCATACAGAACTTGACTTACAAGGTAGGCATTTTACTGCATGGCTACCTGAAGAGATTTAAACTATGTTGTCAAGTTTCAGTCACCTCCAACTACAGCATGGATGTGGAGCTTCACTAACAGATAAAAACCAACTGAGACAAAAACTGTGCCAACAAATCTGTTTTCTCTTATATCAGCCACTATAATGTATGGGAACAAATATGTTCTCTTGTCATTTCTCAAAAACCCATAATAGCAAGAAACAGACTATACACGCTGTCTGTCTGTGGGCTGTTCCCATTCAAACAGGGAAGCAGCAACTTTCTAGGGGTTCAGAAAACACAGAAGCCCTATTCAGTCTCTCTATAATCCAAAATCACCAACATGATTATAGTGAGCAGCTAGTCCTATGTCCCTTTCTCACTTTACTTATGCAAAGCCAAAAGCAAAAGTGTGCTGCTTATATACCACTCCACAACACAAAGCACTCTCTGGGTGGTTTAAAAGTTAATTATGCAGACTACGCATTGCCCCCTCCCAGTGAGCTGGGTACTCATTTTACCAACCTCAGAAGGATAGAAGGCTCAGTCAACCTTGAACCGGCTACCTGGGATTGAACCCTAGGTCGTGAGCACAGTGTGGGCTACAGTACAGCGGTTTAACCACTACGCCACGAGAGTCTTTCAACTACTGACATGTATGAAGAGAAGGATTCTAGTGTGTTCCCCTTGACAATTTGTCCAGTTGTGTCCGACTCTAGACAACGGTGCTCATCTCCGTTTCCAACCCATAGAGCTAGCATTTTGTCTGCAGACACTCCTTCGTGGTCACGTGGCCAGCGTGACTAGACATGGAACGTCGTTTACCTTCCCACCAAGGTGGTACCTATTTATCTACTTGCATTTTTGCATTTTGCATGCTTCCTAACCACTAGTTTGGCGGGAGCTGGGACAAGCGACGGGGGCTCACTCCGTTGCATGGATTCGATCTTACAACTGCAGGTCTTCTGATCTTGCAGCACAAAGGCTTCAGCAGTTTAACCCGCAACGCCACCACGTCCCTACACATAGTCTCTACACATAAGCAAAACATGAGATTTTCCTAGTTTCTTCCTTGTGTGTAGACTGTAGAGTCTACAGGCAAGCATAAAGACCTACTTCTCAGATTCACTGTTGCTCAAGTGAATGAAGAGGTGAGATAGGCAGCAAGAATAGCCCCATAACTGTACTGAGGATTCTGGATTTCGGAACCAATGAAGAGGGCTGATGTGTGGAGATTTAAACCATTTCAAATGAGACCCATATCGCTATATGCATAGCAACACAAACATAAACAAGAGATCAGAAATTCTCAACTTATATCCTAGAAATGAGAAAGAAGTACACACACATTTTAAAAATAAAATTGACATATCTTCCCACTAGGTCAATGTGACCTCTAGTTTTAGAGATATATGCCTATTAGTAAAAGCCACTTCACGAGAGCTAGTGTATTGTGGTGAACAGTTTGTTGGAGTAGGACTCAGGAAACCATGTTTCAAATATCCACTCAGCCGTGGAAACTCACTGGCATGTATTAAAGGTAAAAACAGTCCTTAAATATCTCAGTACCTCAAAAACTCTACCAAGGTCACCTGTAAGGTGGAACCAACTTGACAGCACATAGCACACACAGAATAGCTGCTCTTGTAACATGGAGTTACAGGAAGAAAAGAATTGAAGGGATATCAGTGGCTCCACACAATTCTAGGTCTCAAAGTATCAGTATTCTCTACTCAAGTCCTAGATGACCCACACCAGTCATACCTGAATCATGAAATCACAGAAAGTGCAATTTATGAAGACAGAATGCAGATACACTTTTTAAAAGCCAGTGACTAATATACATATCTATGACTAGTACAAATTCTTAGATCTTTATGAGTGAGGAATAATGTTTTCTGTACTCTGGATGGTCCAAACTAGAGCTGCACAAAAACAGAGTGTCTTTCTAGAAGGGATGGGGAGATGTGTGGCCCTTCAGATGCAGAGTGGCCACAGCTCTTCTCACTATTGGCTAAGATGGTTAGGGCTGATGGGAATTACAGTCCAACAAAGGGTGGAAGGTACACATGTCCCCATGTTTGCCCTGAGTTGTCCCGAGAGAGCCCATGGTGGAGGCAGGTGACGACTGGGGAGGTCTCCATTTGGGTGGCTTTTAACTGGATGGCAGCTGTCCATTTCACACTTCCCACTTTTGTGTTTCTCTCAGGAAGTGGAGCCCGAACAGCCTTCCCTGGGGCAAAACGGAGAGATAGGTCACCCTAAAAACTAATACTGAGCCAGGATTTTAAAAAGAAAGGGGGGGAAGCAGAGACAGGGGGGACCTGTGACTTGTGGGGAAAAGCCACAATAGTGTCTTTTGTCTCAAGAAACCAAAGGAAGGAAAAGTCAGAAAGGCAGGGGGGAATCTCAGCTAACTCTGGAAGTTCCCAAGCAGGAATTAAGACACCCCATTGTTTACTCTGAGCTTCTTCAAACACACAAAGCCAGGCCGCATCCAGCCCACGACGGGAACGAAGGACTAACCAGAAAGCCTTGAGCTCCAGAAACTGAACGCGCATCCTGCCTACCCGCTATCATTTTCCGACGTGAGGGATTCGCCTTTCGCTCATTCGCTGACGAAACAGGTCGTATCCAGCCCGAAGCAGGCCACGAACCGGGAGCCTCTCACACGCGCCCACCCACCCCCCGCCACCACCGTTGGCCCCGCGTCCCGCCCGAGGTGGATTTGGGGCTCAGGGGAAAGGGAGCGGTTACCGCTCGTTGGCTAACTCGGGAGCGGAAGGTTGCTCGCTTGCTTCAAGCAACCTTTATTATTATTATTATTTTTAAAGCCTTCCCCGACTCGACCGCTTGGCTCAGCGGCGCTAGAGCTGGGCTCCCCAACCGCGGCGTCCCTGCCACCGGCCGCACTTGGCCGGAGGAAGTCAGGTCGGGGAAGAACCTCGGCTCCTCGACAGACATACACAGATGAGATCTCCTTTTAGACAAAACTGAGGGGAATCAAAGCGGCCGACACCGTCCTCGCCTCCTCCCTCTCCTCAGAGGAGGGCGAACGGGAACCCTTCTCGCCCACTTGCCGCCGCCCCCCCGCACCCACCCCTGGAGAATTTCAGTCAGAGAAATGTCTACCTACCGCCGGAAGCGCGGTTGGAGGCGGAGGAACGAAGAGGGGACGGACAAGACCTACCGCCGGAAGCGCGGCTGGGAGGGTGCAAGAGGGGACGGACTCCTGGCGAAGGAAGAGGAAGGAGAAGGGGAGGAGTCTCGGGCAGGAGGGCCCCCCCCGCAGACCGAGAGGGGAGCGGGCGGGAGTGCGAGAGAGAGCACGTGACGGGACGTCGGGCCAAGACTGGCTGAGCTTCTCTTGTCACTCAGCCGCCGCCAGCCACTTGCCAGTTTGGAGGGCAGGGCAAGGGGGCGTCTTCCTGGGGAACGGTAGGAGGGCGGGGGAGAGAGATGCTTTCCTCCACCGGGGCTTCTTCAGTGGGAAGCGGAGGTAGGCAGTTCGCCTTCTCTCTTCTTCGAGGGCTGCCAGCTTCACAGCGGTCAAGGGCAAACCAGTCGAGATCGCCCAACTCACTTAAGTCTTAACACTTCTTGGAGAGGAAGAAACACACTTCAGTGGTCCCCATAGTCATCGGGGCTTTTGGGAACATTATCAAGAAATTTCATCGAGTGCTATAAGAAGTTGCAGATCCTCAGAAATCACACCATCAGAGCTCCAAAAAACGGCAACATTAGGAACAGCATGCATGCTGCGCCAATATTTAACAGATACTTATATTTTGGGTTAAAACTTG